CACTTACTGCAGAATGAACACAATATAGTGCTATGTCCTGGATTGTGATATAAAAGCTTCTGAAAAGATGTTCCATTGTTTATTTTTTCATGTTTTTGTTTAAAAAAAGCGCTTTTGAAAAGGGAATGTATGCACCATGGCAATCTATATAGATGCTTGATTTATTTATGTAGAAGTAGTCATTTAATGACAAGTGCAGCAAATGCAGACGGTATCCATTGGAAGATACAGCGGGGGTTAGGGTTTGGGCAGCGTTCTTATTCTTCAAGAGTTTCCTGTATAAATCGATGGTTGTTATGATGAAATATTTCAGTTAAATTTATCATATAGGAGACGCACACAGTGATATTTGAGAAGTGAAACCAAGTTTATAGGATTTACAGAAAGTGTGAAATAATTGTTTAAACAAAATTAGGCTGGTGCTTAAATATGGGCACCACCCAAATGAAATTAACTCATAATTTAGTAGATCCTCCTTTTTCTTGACATAGCAGCCTCTAAATGCTTCTTATAGCCTATTCTGGTTGAAGGTATTCTGGACCATTCTTCTTTACAAAACATCTCTAGTTCATTCAGGTTTGATGCTTCTGAGCACAGACAGCTCTCTTTAACTCACACCACAGATTTTCAATATCATCCAGGTCTGAGGACTGAGAAGGCTGTTCCAGAACGCTGTACTTGTTCCTCAGTATGAATCTCTTAGTAGACTCTGAGCAGTGTTTAGGGTCGTTGTCTTGTTTAAAGATCCAGCCCCGGCCCATTTTCAGCTTTGTCACTGATCCCTGGACATTGGTCTCCATAATCTGCTGGTATTGAATGGAATCCATGCATCCCTCAACTTTAACAAGACTCCCAGTCCCTGCACTGGCCACACAGCACCACAGCATGATGGAACCACCACCGTGTTTTGCTGTAGGTAGCAGGTGTTTTTCTTGGAATGCTGTGTTCTTTTTCCTCCATGCATAACGCCCCTTGTTATGTCCCAATACAAATTTTTAGTTTCATCAGTCCACAGCTCCTTATTCCAAAAAGAAGCTGGCTTGTCCAGATGTGCTTTAGCATACCTCAAGCTGCTCTGTTTGTGCTGTGGGCGGAGCAAAGGCTTCCTCTGTATCACTCTCACATGCAGCATCTCCTTGAGTAAAGTGCCCCAAATAGTTGAATGATGCACAGTGACTCCATCTGCAGCAAGATGATGTTGTAGGACTTTTGGTGCTGGTCTGTGGGTTGACCCTGATAGTTCTCACCATTCTTTGCCTCCGTTTAGCCAAGATTTTCTTGTTCTGTGACTCAGAGCCTTAACTTGAACTGTGACTCACTTTGGATTGAAAAGAGGTGAAAATTAGACACATTTAGCAAAATCTCCAAATCGGGCATATCAGGTTTTCTCATGTTCTGTTCAAAATCTTATTCCCAATGTTTTCCATCTTCACTCAACTTTTTCCTCCTAAATTTGTTAAAATGCAAATTCCTGTGTGAAAATGCAGCAATTATCTACTCATCCGAGCTTCCCTCGACCCCGAAACAAAATCCACTGAAAATATCCCTTTTACTGTTCTCGCACGGCTGCTGCCTACGTGGACACTCCCTGCTGAGTTGCAGAAGTGATTAAAGTAATCTCTTTGGTACAGCAGATATGCACCCCCATCACATTGACTAGATTCCTTCTTGTCTTATAAAGATGTTTCGTCAGCATTGGGGAGAATTTAGCCTCTGGTCTGGATGCGAGTCTGAGGAAATGGGGTTGATCTTTTTGTGCTGATTCTGTGGGAAGAGTGAGATGAACTGATGGATATCAGTTAATTTAAAAAGTACATTTTTATTTCTTTTCTATTTAAATTTAAAGTGAAACACTATTTCCTACACGATTCATCTGTTTGACAAAACGGCTCAATCGTGTTTTTTTATTGGGTTGTCCTTTTCAAAAGTGAATTTGATTGCCTGTAGGAAATAGTTTTTAAGAGTTTTTTGTACCTTGCAAGAGGTGTCAAAACCTGACAACGCCTCTGCAATAAACATCAGCGGGAGGGGCAGAAACTGTGCACTCAGCACGCTGTGGAGCCCTGCGGAGAGTTAAATCTTCTCATCAGCAGTTTTGATCTCCTCGCAATTTTTAAATGAATTCTGACAAAAGAAGTGACATCAATGTGGGTGTGTGCTTGTTTGTTTAAGTTCCAAACTCATTCGGCATTATACTAAAAGCCCTCCAGCACTTTGTGTTTCCCTAAAGGTGAACAGCAGAACATATTCAGCGGGAACAGTAAGTCTGTGTCTCCACGTCAGCTTAAATCCGGCCAGACTCTCTGGATCGTCGTGACCTTCTTGTGCTCACATGGTGCTTGACCCAAGCAAATGAAGTGATTCGGTGTTCCCATCGACTGCAATTTACCCACAGGGACGTCAGTGTTAAAGACACCTGTAAATGTCACAGGGAGCTTGTAACTGTTTCTTTTTGACTTTGACAAATGGAGCTGTCGAGGAATTTTACCGATTAGGCCGCAAATGTTTGGTTTAACCTCTCCTGCATCAGTGGCTCCATCGTTTAGCTCCTGTAGATGGCGACTGAGTGTAGATGAAGTTATTTTTTATAAATGATAAATGACCCGCACTTGTATAGCGTCTCTCAGAGTAAGGACTCCAAAGCGCTTTACACTACAGTGTGTCATTCACCCATTCACACACACATTCACACACTGATGGTGATGAGCTACGATGTAGCCACAGCTGCCCTGGGGCCCACTGACAGAGGCGTAATGGAAGGCGTAGCTTCCTGCGGCATGTTGATTCTCTGTCATTTTTTGGTTATAATTTTTTTTGTCAAATATCCAAGTTTGTAATCAAAGTGCTTTGTCTGCCGGCTGAGCTAAGCTCTATCACCTGTGGAACTAAATCTTCCTGAGGTCTGACGTGGTGAAACATTAGAGATCCTCATCAGTCACAGACATGCCGGCTAAACCGACAGAACGACAATTAATTCCACTCTGAATCACTGAAGCAATGGCGCCTCGCTGCCTCTGAGCCGTTATCTACTGAAAACCTGTTGCATAATTATTATTTATTGCAAAAAGAGCAGCTTAGATCTGGGCTTTCTGAACTGCAGTGGCTTAATAGACACAAATACTCATGCTAGTTCAGTCAGCAGCTGTTCCATATTGGCATTTTTGCAGCACTGATATGGATGCACACGTGAGATGGAAGGAATTCTGACTGATTAGTTTGTAAAAACGGCGATTTGAGCATCATAACAAAGCTCCTATCCTTTTGTCTCCGTTAGCGTCGGCGGTACAGGAAGTGGTGATGAAAACACGTGGGGAATTGCATATTTACTCCAGTGTGTAAGGATAAGGGCTGAGCAAAGCTGGACTATAACCTATTGTGCTTTTGAGGAAATAAAAATAACCAGAGCTGAACTTAATGGCCTGAAGAAGTCTTTGTGCAACTCGTGTGTCAGTGGTAGGAAAAGACAGCTCTGCTGTATCATAAAAACATGTCATGGTTTCGTGGTCAGTTGGAGAATTGATTGTCATTTTCATTTATGTAACAACTGCAGGAGTGTTGCAACTGGATGAGGATGAGATGCAATGGGGGGGGGGGGGGGGGGGGGCAAATTACAAGTTGACAAATTGCATGTTGCTGCCAGGAGATCTAAAACTGGAGGAAAATGTTGAATCAGGTAGAAGGATGGCAATGTGGCAGAATATGGATGGTCCTGTTAGTCCTGTGTTTATTTTTTTTATGCGTGTGTGTTAGTTTGTGTAATGTTAGCAAAATATCTCATGAAACACATCATATTCTAATTAAACTCCTAGAAAGTCCTTGCTGGATGTAGATGAGTTGAATTGATTCAACATGGCCACCACAGCTTATCAACTCTAAGAAACAAAAAATGGCAACAACTCGGTGACTTATCCAAATATTGAGCTAGAATTTCATTTGACAGTCACTGATATTCCTTCATAGCAACAGGTTGCTTGAGATCACACATGGCATTTATTCAAGACATCACAAAATGATTAGATGACCATCATTTCTCAACACAAAATTATTATTTTTTTATGACTTTGAGTCAGTGACACATTTTTTAAGAATGAAATAATTTAGTTTTCATCCATAATTGATAATTATTTTCTAAGTTTTTTTTTCTCACTCAAACCAAGTGGATCTTATTAAAGTAACCCAGAGCAGTTTCCTGCTCCACCTTACTGGTTGAAAGAGGAATTGCAACTACCATAACCAACCCTGCAGCAGCCTGTTGTAGCTATTGCTAACAATGAGCTAACACTAACATGAGCCAAGTCTTACTAAATAATCCAAAAATCAAAAAGATCCACACTGTTGGACAAACAATATTACTTACAAGTTCAGTGGCAACAAAGCCAGGTCACCATCAGCTCGTGATGTCATAGCCTATTTCAGCTTCCTCAGACTAGTGTGGGCCATGCTGATGTTTGCTCCGATTTTAGCTCTACTTTACTTCCAAAAACATAACTATCTTACAGAGCCGTGTCCAGGACTTTTAAAATGGGGTGGCCCATGTGGGGCACTTGTTTATTTATGGGTGGCACCAATGGATATGCTTATTTATTTATTTACACAAATTGTTTATTTATTTATTTATTTGCTTTCTAGTGAATTTTTGAGTTTCACATTACACAATCACCATATTTTTTTTCCTCTTCATCTTCTACTTTTGTGGTGGTTAGCAAGTCACTTCTTGTTGCATTACTGCCACCAACTGGAGTTGAGTGGGATTCTAAATACTATGTATGTGAGTATGAAAAAATATTAATAGTAATATTAATACTACACACCTGGGCTAGAAAACAAGGTGAAATGTGCATGCAACCACACACTATTTTGGAGTTTACAACTCAAGCCTTTTGTCGACAATGTACAGTCAATTTAAACGGGAACTTAGTGGGGTGGCACCTGGGGTGGCCAATCAGATTCTAAGGGTGGCATGTGCTACCCCAGGCCACTCCCTGGACACGCCCCTGCTATCTTACTTTTACTTCCGGGCACCGCCATGATGCCAACAGATAAGCAAGCTTCTTCTTTTTCTTTTCCTTGTGTTTTTTATTGATAATCAGCAAACTGAAAAAGCTAACTGCACAGAAAATAGCCGACAGCCATAACGCAGGTATAAGCGCAGCCCCTAGAACACCTACCCGCTCCACCTAGCGTCAGCCAGAAAGTTTCTAACCCAACAATCACTGAGATCAATGTTAAAGCTCTAGCTTAATGTTACTTTAACGCTCTCTGATTCAGGAGGATTATACCCATGGCAAGATGTTACAAACTCATATGTGTTTAGTTGAATTTTACATAAAATAGGAAACTAAAAGTAAAGGCAATTTGTAAAAAAAAAAAAAAAAGAAAGAAGCGCGGGTTTGCAAGTGAATATGTAGAAGAGGAGGAGGACTGGAAGCAGCCAGCCCACACAAACCAGCCTGTAAGTTCTGTCCCTCTGCAGTTTCCTCCTACATTTTCTCAGTGGTCATTTTGTCATTTTCTACAAACCAGTTGGCTGCCTCCACCTTCGCCTGCCCCGGCCCAGTTCGTGAATTTCAGCTAGTCTTTCACTCTGTTCACTTGTTCCTCCAGCCAAGTCTGCAGCCCTCCCCCACAGCGTTCTGCACCTTGGATTTCTTTGTGTGACACATCAAACAGTTTGTAATACATCAGCTGGCAGGGTCGCCCTAACGGCTGCATGTGGGGAAGAGTCCAGAAGTCATCCGCCCATGCATGTGCAGTGCAAGAGTCGAGCACAGCAAACAAATCCTTTAGCAGTTTTCTCGTGCAAAGAGAAACAGGCATATTAGCATTTGGCATCTTGCATGTGAAACATTTTAATGAGGCCGTCTCATTCTGCTCAGATACACGGCCTCTCTACCATTCACCCTCCGTCTCTGTCTTTCTCTCACACGCGCTGCACAAATGCACAAGCTCTCCCTTAAAACTTGAATTTCAGAGACAGAAGCGTCTGGAATCTTTATTTATTTTTTATTTTTTTCCCTTACAGCCTCCCACAGACGTCCTCGAACCTATCATTTTCTCTGCAGTGGAGCATTGGTGACGTATGCTCATCGCTAATGCAGCTGAATTTTAAAAGGCTCTACGCCCACGCTCTGTATCACTACTGCAGGCATAATAATCATAAACTTTCCTTTGCTGTCTGAAGCCACTCCGTGTCTGCGTGTGATTCTTCAGACCTACTTATTTGCAAATGTTAATTCAGCGTTGGTGAACAGAAAGGGGAGACGACTGGAGCTGATAACCACCTGGTTGTGAGAGGGAGGGGGCTGTTTGGCAGCATGTTCCTGTGCACGCTCTTGCACAGATTCTCCTTTATTGCTTGTCCAAACTGTTTGTTTGCACTGTGCATAATTCTCACAGACGTTTGGGAAAAAAAAAATGCTGTTGGAGATTAATTTGGTCAAAAGCACCCTGAAAATATTTATTACCCAGTAAGACAGTTTTTCAAATCAGCCTTGGCAGGTTGCAGAGCTGTTTGTTGTTTTCTCTTAGAGAGAGCCACAACAGCTGAGTAATCAGAATCAGAGAAGCAACTGTGTTCCAAAAAAACAAACAAAAACTTATTTATTCACACTTTTTTCTTTGTAAAGATGAAGCAAAGGTGTTTTTAATTTTAATCTGCAGCTAGGTTGTCATGGTTTCATAATCAGCGAGGGAATACCTCATTATAATTAAATGTGATAGATTTGGAGCTGCGGTGGACAAATCTCAGCGATGTGCACTAAAAATTCAGCTTTCCACCTCCTGTTTATTAATAATCGTCCTTTAATGAATTCACATGGTCCGATGGGTTTCATCAGCTTTATGAATCGACGGAGAAGTGGATAAATGTAAGGATTTAAAACGTCCGGGTTAGTTTATGTGTACATGCTCCCATCATATCTCAGTACCTCCTATGTGAAGCAAATGGAAGAGATGAGACATGAGATCTTAAGGTGTTTATTTTTTTATTGGCTCTCATCATTTTAAATCAATGTCAGTTAGTCGTGATGTCAGCTGCATCATCTGGTCGGCGTCATCCTTCAGAACCTCCCGGAATAATCCCTTGTCTTCCAGTTAGATTGTCTGTATGATGCGTGACATTGGATTTTTGTCAAAGATGCTGTAAAAAAACTAATCCGATCTTTTTCCTTCATAAATATTTGAGGGATTGAAATATCCTTTGAGATGTTTTGATGAGATCGATCTTCATGTCATAAGGAGAGAGCAGAAGGTACCTTTCATCTGGGATCATTCATTCTGATCAGGATACACATTCCTCTTTTCTGAAAGGTGATATTTTAACTCCGTTTTGTAGCTTTTAGCTTAACAGACAGCAGCTGCCTTGAAACAAAAGCAATATATATAATATGAAGACATAATTAAATAATAGCTGAGCCTCAGGAGTTAGAGGAGGACCTCCTCCCAGCTACTTGAAGACAACACAACTGTTATGTCCCGACAGGTGTTGTAACATATGGGGGGTAACATAAGAACTGGCGGAGGAGTTTAAAATGGGTTTATTTGTAACAAAAAGGTATTACACCACAAGCAAACAGATCTCTCTAAAAGGTTAACATTACACAGCAAATTATCAACTATAAAACACCTGGTTAAAACTTATTAAAAGCTTAACTGAACAGAAGGTGTTTTAAAATCCCCAGAGTTGATAACTGTTCCCAAATCAATACACTGACTAAAACACCTGGTAAAACTTATTTTAAAAAGCTTTACCACACGAAGGGGTTTAAAAACCAAGGTCAGTAAAATTACACAAACAAAGTTAACCTTAAAACCGAACACAAACATCAAAAGATCCCACTGGATCATCCCAAACTTATCATCAAGAGTTAAAAACTACCACAGTTTAAAACTCAAACGAATCTAAACAAAAGGGGTTGAAACGAAACCAAACCAAACCAAACCAAACCAAACCAAACCAAACCAAAAACCAGGAGGACAGCAGAACCCCTGCACTGCTGCCTCCCATACTGCGCTGGCAATCAAGGAAGATTCAGCTCAGCTGTGCTCCTCAGCAGCCCGGGAGAGAGGAGGAGGAGGGGCGGTGTCAGGCAGTTTCACCAGAGCTGGGTGATCCTGGCTCCTGCCCTTCCCTGGCCAGACTGGCAACCGTAACAACAACACTCATTTTATGGACTAAAAGTCCACCACTATCCTCTGTCCTGCTAGCCAATGTCCGTGCTCTGCGCAATAAATCGGACGTGTAAAATTAGAATTTCAAAATCAGGTTTTTCTGTCTTTATCTCCCTAAAGGTTCTACTGCGTATCACAGAGTTGTGTTATTTACAACCGTTTCCATTTGTGGGATCACATAAGATTATGAATCAGTGTATTTTACTTCCTGTCCTTCTTTCCTCATATTATTAGTGTTCCTGTTTTTGTTGAAGTACTTGAGAAGCAGCAGATTTTAGCTTGTTTAGCAGCTTTTATTAGATTTTCCTACATCAGGGGTCCTCGACCACCAAGCCCAGGACTGAAGCTGAATCACTTTTAATTAACGTAAAACTTTTAATTTTGGGACTTTGATTGAATGGTGAAAGTTTTGTAACTGTTTGTTACAAATCAGTAAATGCATTTTGTCTTCATGGGCACCCTTAGAAGGAAACATGGCGAGACCCACTCCCATGTATTTTTATGGTTATATGTTACAAAGTCGACACTATTTTTCAACAACTGGGCATCATTTTGTTCATTTTCAAACTACTCATTGTCCCTTTACCACCTCTGATTCACTGTACAAAGGGCAAAAAAAGACAGTTTGGCCTATACCTTTGTATTATACAATTTCATTTCATTTTAATCCTTGCTATTAGTAATCTTGTTCAATAACTAATTAATCAATAACTAATCATTATTATTAATACAACAATAATTAATACTACTGTTTTGGTCTGACTGTAACAGATCTTCCACCTGAAATATTTTACTTCCAAAATCATAATTTTCAAAATAATCAGAAATGTGAAAATAAGCAGATTTCATAATGTGCACCTCTGGACCATGGACGACCTGTCAACAGCTTTTTGACAGGTCCTGCATGCTATGAGGCAGCAAATGAGTTTTTGACAATGTTGTCTTGTTGGTTGCAATATATACATTCACCACTAGATGTCACCTCATTCTGAGAACTGTGCTTTCAAAAATTAACCTGGAAAAATGATGATTTTAGCAACAACATAACAAAATGTATACCTCTTTCTTAGAAACAGTAACTTTTAGGCAGTTGGAAAAGTCTGCACATGATTTGCTGCAGAGTATTTTTTATTGTTAATGATTTAGGGTTCATTGGTAATTATGTCTAATCATAAATGAGTACTGATACATCTAATAGAAAATAAATTTGAGGTGCCAAGCAAAACATATATATCAGAAATTATTTTTATTGTTGACTCACTCACTGCCAGCCGTTTCCTGATCACTAACGGCCTTCGCTGCCAGCGTTCCTCACCGTTTTTACTGTTTTTTTAAGAGTCACAGAACGTTGCGCGCTAGCATGATGTCGATGCCAAAACAACCAAAACAAAGAGGAGACTCACCTCTTACATCAGGAAGAAGCCGCGTGTTTCGAGCGCTATCCGTTCTTTCATAATCCGTTGTCGAATTGTGATCGGTAGACGCTTTTCTGGTTCGTGCCTCACTTTTTTTACAGGAACTGCCCAAAACGATCTCCAAACACATGGATGTGTTGCTTCCTGATCGTGTGATGTGTGACGTATGCAGATGAAGATCGGCTTTAGGGCTGAGATGTTTGTTCTCTCACCGCGGGGGCTCGTTCCGATGCTCAAACAGTAAAAAAATGCAAAGGACGACTTTAGTCGTCATTGGCAGTGAACGGTTGGATCTGAAATGGCGACTTTAGTCATCAATGGCAGTGAATGAGTTAACTATTAAGTGTGCTTAAGGTTAGGACAAAGGGCCAAGGGGATGTGTTTGCTCAGTATTGCATTACTTAACATTAATATTAAGCAGTTGTTAATACTTAATTTAATAACATATTAATGCTTAATAATGCAATAAGTTATGTTAATAAAGGGACCATTATTGTAAATTGTTACTGACTTCTTTCTTGAAAAAAGTAGAATTATTGATGTTTCTTTGATTCTTCCTTAATTTACTTTGATTTATTTAAAAAAACAAATCCAATTTTGTCCAACAAGTAAAAAACCATCTCAAATCCTAAAGACGTGATAATGAAACCCTCTGGACAAAAGTCACGCAGGAACTGATGAAGAATTCAGAGCTCCTCTGGTCAGCCATGACGCTTATCACAGTTCATAACTCTGTCCGACGAGGTCAGGCGTCCACTTACTGACAGCGAATTTCTGATAACTGAATGATTTCCTCTAGTTTCTTCACAGCAGCTCTCCTTTTTAAATTCTCTACTTTCTCTTGTTTGCACAGTTTTATATTTACCGCATGACATAAGCACTTCTAGAAAGAAATGAACAGTTTGTTGCTATTAAACCAAAGTGAGACACCGTCACAAGTCTTTCTACGAACCTGTGACACATCGCGGGGCATTCACTGGTCGCTTCTGAATGCAGTGGAAGGTATCTGCTGCAGATGCTTTTTTTTGGAAGTAGATGACACTTAGACTCAACAGGTGTGAACCGTGCTGCTGTTGTGTTTGTGTGAATGAAGTCAGCAACACCTTATCAACAAATTAGACACAACACTAGGCAAGCTGTAGCCGTGGTTGAGCGTTGCACAAGAAATGGAGCCACCTTTATTCTGATGTTTGCCATAGAGCGTTCATATATGCACTACTGTCTTCCTCAAAATGACTCATGTTCTGATACCGAGGGGTTAGGAAGCTCTACTCGTGTGGCTCGGATGCGTCCTGCAATCTGCTAGACGACACAGAAATGTTCCACTCGTGGCGTCTGCATCCTCGTAGAAACACACGAGTGCATGCTGGCTGCCATTCTGTTACATCAGCTGTTCAGACATAATCAGTTCTAATAATAATTCAGAAAATACCACAAGCCCTGAAACAGCTTAAAGCCCTGGAGGTAATTAATGTAGCTGTGAAACTTTTCCCATTCAGCCCTCCTTTTAACCCGGGGCTAATTATGATAAGTGACTGCAGGATGGAGAGAGAGACTGTTTCATTTACACTATTAACCCATACGTGATGTCACTTTAATACAGCAGTTTTCTAACTTTCTGAATATCATTAATTGGAAATATTAAGTCCTAAAAGTAGAAAAACGAGAAGCCAGTTACACAAATGAGGAATGTGATCTGCTGTTGCGCCTGACCCCTTTGTGCAACGACGTGTAGCTCTAAATGTTTCCAATTAATGTTTATCAGTCATCCGAATCTTCCTGTAGGAAGATTCAACTATAGCTTAGTTTGGATAGTTTCCTTCTGAATTTTCATGTTCTAGTTAAAGAAAGAACAAGTCCAAACCATGATGCTACCACCTCACCAACCAGAAAAAAAACCCCATCTGGTGTTGAAGCTGGGATTCAGTATTTTCTTTTGCAAGCAGTTCTTCTCAATTAAAGAGAAAAAACACAGTAAATCTAATTTGGGCTGTTTGTTGCTGGCCAGTAACACCCGAGGTGCATAATGATGTTCCAAAATCTCTCCAGTTAAATACACGACTGCTGAAGCTGAAACTATTTATAGATATTTTATTAGTTCTTTAATCCATGAAAGCCTAAATAACAGTTTTAAAGGCACCAATTTGCACCTTATTTTATTCAATTACCCAGTTCCCTTTATTCAGTCACATACAGTAAAGTGACCACAATTGCTGGTTATGCTTTTTTATTTATTTAAGGTTCTTGTAGAACCTTTGTGAGACCAATGCATTAAACACTCAATCTCTTATTTTCTTTACCGTTTATTCCTCAGTAGAGGAGCTGGTGTCCATCTCCAGCAGTCATCAAGCGAGAGGTAAAGAACATCAGGTCATCCGTTCATTTAAAGGTCACACAGAGACAAGCGGGACACACACCTGCCCACTCAGTCACACACAAGTTAGAGTTGCCAGTTATCCTAAGCATCATGTTTCTGGTCATTGGCAGAGAACCAAATTCCCTGGATTAAACACTTGCATGCATGGGGAGAACATGCTGGGATTCAAACCTGCAACCTTCTTGCTGCAAGACAGTGGTGCAACTTCTACCATGCAACTCCATCATTTATAATCAAGAACAGAAAATCGTAATAAATGGTGAAACCTGATTTAAGCAGTACGTGTTGAATATCTGCTGCAGAAAGACATTATTTAGCATTGGAATAAAATCAGTTTCACCGTCATTGTTTAAAATATTTTTCTGAGAATTAATTTGGTGACAAAGGACGAACTTTTTTTTAAATTAGCATACTCTTATTTCAGGAAACTTTTTAGGAGTCGAGCAGCAGAAATATCTGGTGGAAGATATGCTGTCAAAACGTTTGTTTTCCAGTGACCGTCGAGACAAATGACCAACACACGGTGTAATCAGACAGATGTGTTGCAGAAACGAGGCGATCCAGGAATCTCAAAACATGCCAATCCAGTTTTTCCTACAAGACTTTTCTCCCAGCAGTCGTTACGATTGAGTTACAGCAGAGGGAAGGATTTAGCTGCGGGTAAGAGGAGGACACAGGAGAAGTTCTGTAACCCAGTCAGCAGTTAGAAATCCTTGGATTTATCCAACAGCAGACTTCCTCTGGACAGGACCACAACAACAGAGACAACCAAGCAGTGGATTAACTGTAATCCTATCTGGGTCTCCTTGCAGCAAACCAACACCTGCATCAGAAAATCACAAGACAAACAAAACCACTCAAAGTGAGCTGCAGCACATGACCTCTCTGGGTCACTTCCTCAGTAACCGCCCAGACTTCAGCTGGCAACCACTCTATTATGGAACCGCAGCGTGATACACTCGGCAAAAAGCTATTTTTTAATGTTGTAGTAGGATGAACAAAAGCAACAAAGGACTAAAAGGATGAAGCTAAGATTTGAGCTGCAGGGAGATTGTTGCCAGAGAGAAGAAAAAACCCCTGAAACTTACGAGAAGAAGAATGAAAAAAGTAGCAATGATTTGAGTTTTCTTTGGCAAAATCCTTGAGAGATTACAGGCCGGCTATGCTGCTCTGCTTCGGGAGTCGGAGGCGAACTCGACACCTCTCAGTCCAGTGGAGCGAAAAGGACGGTTTGCTCCAAGATGAGACCCAGTTCATTCCAAACCCCTGCTTCCTAGACACAGGTAACAAGCTGCACAGTCAGTCTAACTCAAGAGCTGATGGTAGTACTCCCTGGAAAGAAAGAATTTCTCTCATTTGCGTGAATGCGTGTTTTGAGGCACGTGCTGAAAAGTTTCTGGCAAAATTCTTACGTTTTTCTTTGTTGTCACACCGGCTCAGCTAAAGTTACTTCCTTGTAGATCAAATGAACGGAGTGAGTCGTGGAAATAATCATTTCATCTTTTAAGGGTGTTGTCTGAAAAAGGTTAACATTATGCTGCTTTGAGTATCATTGCTCTGCAGGAGGCATGTCAGCATCTCGATTTTCATTTTGCAATTAGCCCAGAAAAGCCACTTAGCTGTTTGTGTGACTCTGGGCCAAGTTCCTGAACGTATAAACTAAACACATTAATTAATTTAAACTAGCATTAAACTTTGTTTCCATGGGTACCGGATGATTAAAAATGCATTTTTTAAATATAGTATCTCCATACGTCCGTGCTAGTTGAGATGTTCTCTAATTGCCCACATAGGGGCAGTGTTCCTGCCCCAACTACACTAGACCAAAAATCTGGACTGATTCAAACTCCTAAATGACCTCTCCATGTCAACCCATGTGCACATCAGAGCACCACACCTCTGGTAAAATAACATTAGTATTGCTTTGGATTTCAGAAATCCAGCACACTCAGTTTCTTGGTGAAATTAGAGGCTGCACAAGCTCATGCCAAGATGTGGAAAATGTCCTTTTACATAATGTACAGTGAGCCGTTTTCAGCATGGTAGCCATCAGTGCTTTAGAGAGAATACAATTTCCTCACCATAAATAGCTGGAATTAAGCTTCGGCTCTCCCACTGAGCGTGGGCAGCAGGGGGAGGCGCATGGAGTGTGGTGTGTGGCTGGTCTGATTTATTGTTCTCATATGTGCTGGAATAACATATTAGGGAACTCTTAGCTTGTGACTATGGTCAGACTCAAAATTGGACTATTTGAAGCTATCAGTCTGAGCTAGATGATGTAAAATAACAAAGAAATGGCCAAATGTCAGAAATCAACAAAGTTTTTGATTTATTACGCTTCCTTTTTTTAAATTCTTCTGGTAAGAAATGGTAAATAGTGCCCTTCCTGTGATTTGCTGTGATCAGAAGACAACATGTCCATTCATGGCTGGTTGTTGACTCCTAACTGTCATATTCACTTTTTTTTATATATCTCTTGGTGGTGGGGGTTCATTAGCATTGCAGAAATCATATGGGTGTGTTTAATGCTCCTGGGATCCACTCCTTGTTTTCCATGTGTCCCAGGGGTTGGAAGGCAGCTGAAAGTTCAAACAGAGACACACTCCCTCATGCTCTGCATGGCAAGAGCTCAGAGATTAAGGGGTTTGTCTGCACCACAAACAGCAAGCATTACTCAGGAGGCAAAACAGGAGGAAGAAACCAAAAGGAGACCCTTTTTTTTTGTCGTTGTGGGTTTTTATAAATCTTTTTTCAGATATAGCATTGTTACTAAATAGGCCTTAAGGAACCATCTTTTTTTTTCTTTTAAAAGGGAGAATGTTTTTGTTGGACAGCCTGTTGGGAATTTCAACGTGAAGAGAAAACGGCTACAAACTAAATAAGTCTGCTGCGTAAAGGAGCCCGAGGATGCAGGTGGTACAGAGGCTTTGCACTAACTTGTTTGAAGTTTTTCTCGTGTCAAAGGTGAAGGATTAAGCCTGGCATTGGAATCTAGGCTTCAAATGAATGACTTATGTGCTGACTCTCAACTCCCAGTATGGGAATGGCCTGTGTACACGTTTATTGTAGAGTGTGAATGAGAAAGTGTGTGCGGATTCATTTGAGTCCGGTGTGATGCTCTTTCTAAGCAGTGGGACAGCGGATGGAACCCAGAGGAGTAATATTAGTGGAAACCTGGAGCATGAGAGAGCTGTCTACCGTGTATCTGTGATCCTTAAAGACACACAAGGACATGCCGCTGTGTCAGAACCAGAAATGGGCTGCGTCACTCACAACCTGGTGGAGAACTGCCAGCCGAAAGGAGAGATGATGAATCTGGTGCCAATGGACAACAGCCCCAGGCTGGGCAGGGCTCAACAGGAGTTCAACAGGTGGCCCTCCTTAGGCAGCGCAAGCAGAGCAAGGAGGCAAAGGAGAGAGGAGGCAGTTCTGGAGGAGAATGAGAAGGAGGTGGAGGGAAGAATGAAGACGGACAGGTTTTTTAAAAAAAACTCCAAGAACTCCTTGCAACACCACGGGGACGGGGCAGGGCTAACAGCTCCGACAGGCTACCAGAAGCAAACTATTCCGAGTTTGTCGTCACGCTCTGTCACCGTCCTTGGTGAGGGACTTGTCCTCAGGGATCATGAAACCGTTTCAGAGCACAGATCTTTGCCGAGGGCCTTTTTACGTAGGCCCCAACAGGATGAAGCTACGCTCAGCCGGAGAACCATGAGCATGTATGGAGGAGCAGAAGAACAGCAAAGTGATTCTAAACTGGAACAAGAAAGACGGCTGAGGAGGCCGAGGAGTGTTTGCATGCTGGCAGGACCAGTTCCAGTCCCATCAGAACCCACAGCCCAGCAACCGTTTAAGAGGACTGGCGTTTTGGAACCGCACCAACAACACAGGAGCAGGAAGGATGAATTGAGGACAGTGGAAGGCTCCGATTCTGTGGCTCATTGGCCAACAGAACCTTCGGGCGTGATCTTTCGGGGTCGTCAAAGGCGCTGGAGGTCCAGACCAGTCAGTATGACAGTACTGGAACTGAGAAAGAAAGGCTCTGATGAGGAATTGGACAGCCAGAGGAACTGTGGCAACCCAGGCAGTGATGGAGGAGGATTTCTCAGAGGGGGCTTTCCCTGGAGATTTTTTAGCAGAACACCTCAGGATAAAAGCAAGGAGAAGGACACGGACCAAGAGGCTCAAACGTCTCAAAAGTCCATCAGAAATGATGCTTCAAGGAGCACGTTCAGCTCTTTAAGGCGGAGCTTCAGCATGCGGATCAGGAGGACTCGGACTCGTGAAAAAATCAATTTGGGGTTCGAGGGTGAGTCAAAGGACAACTCTCAAGTCAAAAGTGCTGCTGAGGAGACGGAAATGCCTCCACGTCCTTTCTCATATCTCACAGGAAGAACACTTCCGGCGTCCAGCGAGCACATAGATGATGGAGGAACACAGTGCATTCAGTACCACAGCAAGGGGAAGTCCCAGGTTATGGAGGTACCCCTGTATCCCACAAAACTCACTTCCAAACCAGTCCAGGAAGAAAAGAGCTTATGGCAACTCATAGCTAACCGTTTCAGGAGGAAAGAGCAGCCGTTCAAACGTGAATCCCAGCAGCTCCAGAGCAAAGACAGTGAGCAGTATTCCCAGCCTGGGAAGAAAAAGCCACCTCCAATCACCATAGAGACTCTGGCGGGAACTGGCTTCCTCAGAGGTCAAGGTAAGACCTAACGGACCGCTGAATTTCTGTTTCAACTCAGCTCTCCATTCATACCCCATCATTCACTCCACAGAAAGTTACTGCCTGTGAAAAAGAAATGCAGACGTTTTTTCTTTCTTTCTCCAAGGAGGAAGGGTAAATTAGAAACATGTGGGGAACTGTGAGTTTGGATCGAGCTCAGAAATGTTCCCTGGACAGTCATTTTGGATTTCTATTTTAGGTACTTTGTCTCCTGTGTTGTTCAAAGCCCAGTCTCTGCACTTACACATCAAATAGATTTACATGCATTTGTTGTTCAGTGAAATAGTAGGTAGGTGCAGTAAAATGAAATTGGATGAGAGCATGTCGCAGTGGCTTGTTTTCCAGCAGGACAGCTGTGTGGTGCAACACAATACCTCTGTCTTGATAACGCTCTTTCGGAAATGCAGCTTAAGGAGGTTTAAAGCAGTAAGTTCCCTTAATGAGGATGCATTTGACAGCGCTGCAGAGCTATATTAGGAGGGCTTACATGCTATAATGACGAGGAGAGGAGAAAAGGACTTAAGTGCTGTTTAAAGGTTAACTCTGACCACTGGAGTGTGTTCGTCCTGTTGCCTGGAAAAGCAGGGAGAAATGTTTGTAACTGTTTGAATTAATAGCTGCTGAAATTTGCTGCTTTTTGTGTAGCTGATGACTCAAAACAAAATCAGACATCTTTTGACAACTCAGTAAGGACCTCTCTATGTGTCAGGTCTTGCATATCCTGCATTCACCCTCATTAAGGCAAAACCTCATTTATTTTTTATTTTCACACCCAAAGGTCGACCTTGCTGAGCTTGTCTTTATTTGTATTCTCACACGATGCGTTACCAAGGATACCCATCCCCTTGTGGTGCAGTGTCAGGCAGTATTTGTCCACCTCTTCCACTACAGAGTCACTCAGTCAGGCGTCAGGAATGTAGGTGCGCCGATCAACCTGAGTAAAGTCGGGTGTTCGGTGCCCTGGGCGGGACTCGGTGCCTGTCGCTACCTGTCTAAGTGCTTCTTTTTAAATTAAATCCAGTAAGCCCAACCTGAACACACACAAGCACACTGAAGTTGTGCTCCTGGTGAGGTTTAGGGGGAAGGGAGTTGGTGGTGTCCCCACCCCCCCACCTGAGGATGAACAAAGCCACTTTGTGGCTCCTGCGAACGGATCCAGGAGCGATCGGTCAAGCGTGCGCCGAGACGGAGGCTCCCGGGGATGACAGGCTGCTCATGATGCATATATTGGCTGTGAAAGTATCTACTGAGTGTCAAAATATATGTAGTTGGAATCGTGCGTTAGTGGGGCGGTGATTTATTAGATTCATAGCGACTGTTGCTACCTTTTGAAAATGTGAATCAAATTCCCAGCGAGGGTGTGTGATCCATGTATGCTTATCTCAAATCTGACATAAAAGTTATTCATGAGGATGGAAATTCCTTTGCTTCTTTTTCACTGTCTCATTTGATATCACTCCCTGTGCATCTCTTGCAGTCAGATTCTGCACGCCTCCTTCTAAACCTGCACACATAAAACACGTTTTAATGGTGCATGTCTTTCTTTCCTGCAGTTGGTGAGCCTATGTGTCACTTTTATAGGTTTGACAAAAAGGAGGAGAAATGAAAAAAACAAAAAAAGCAGCCAGGGGCAGGATTGGAGGGGCAGTTTTTTAATAAGTCACTGTAACTTGTCTGCTAATGTCTCCAAATCTCAGCTGGAGAACATTCAGTTCCCTGTGATCGTTTTTGGATGGGGGAGCTGGATCCTGCTGTTCTGGAGTCGACTTCTCACCAACAAGTTTAAAAACTGTTGAAAAGTTTCAGTTTAGTTTTGGAAACTTTTTGATCCTCCTGAACATTGTTTTCATTCTGATTCGTGCTTTGTTGATTTCAGCTGGGGGGTTTCCTCGTACCAACAGACATCTCTAAACTTGAAAGTGTGAATATATTTTGAACTGCAAGTGTTTTCAAAAATAAAATGCCTTTAGTGTTTGATGTGGATGCTGCTTGAACCAGGATGTTTGGGGGTTTTTTTCTGCAGAAGGTGATTGATGCCTGATGCCAGAAAACAAAGGGTTTTAATAGCTTTAAGGAGGACAGGCCATTCGGAAGTCACAAGACCAGTTTGACATGAAAATCTGTTCCTTGTTTTCTGCTAATTGCTTTCGTCACTTTTCCCCTTTGATTGAAATGGCTATTTAACTTTTGAGGAAGCGACAGAAAAGAGTGCTCACTTTTTTTTAAGTGCAAATGAGTTTCCAAACGCTGTACACACACATACACAAATAAGAAGATGCTACAGGACAGTTTTGTCAAACGCATGCTTGATAAAAGGAGCCAGACAAGGAATGTAGTTTGGTAACGAGGTTGGCGAATGGACCAAGTAGTTTGTTTGCTGAAATCTCACTCTGTAATTTCTGACAGTGGAAAAGCGTGGTTGGAAAGTCAGAGAGCGTAAATGCAGACCTCAAAGCTGGCCCCTATCATTCCAAAACCCACTTCAGACCGACTGTAAAAAGAAACACACACATGCACGTGCACACGCACGCTCCCAACAAGCATTTGCACCAATTTGCTGCTAAATTCTCTATCCTCATGAAATGGAATAAGTTTTGGGGGCAACTGTGCTTCGCTGCGCTTGAACTGAATGGTCGTTTTATCTGAGAGGGCATGAGTGGTTGAGTGATAAAAGCTGACAAACAGCAGTCTCACACACACACACACACACACACACACACACACACACACACACACACACACACACACACACACACACACACACACACAAAGACAGTGGTGTCTTGTGTTGGCATCAGAAATGATGGGGCTCTCCATTTCCCTTCTGGGCACAATAATGTGAGGAGGATCATATTAAAAGAATGATGTAACAGAAAGCACATGGATTCAATTACAGGCTTGTACTGTATCGCTCTTTGGGTCGATAAAAAAATAATTTTAGATATGTGATTTTCAACGGTGCAAATTCCTCTACTTTATACCAAATTAAAACAAAACTTTTGATGTTTTGGGGTAAAATAAGCTGTAAATGGCAGGAAATGTAAGAAAATGAGGCTACATCCTTATCAGGAGTTGTGTCCTGCACTTTTGATGTCTTCGTTCGTGTTCTGACACGTGAACGCCACACTGAGAGGGCCTAACCGGAGGCGTGTTGTTGAAAACACCCGTCTGCTCCACACAATGCGCGGTGAAAAGCTTCTCTGTTATCGACTTGACCCCTCCCTCTCTCCCCACAACAAGAGAGACATCCAGAGCAGCGTGAGGCTAAACGGAGGTCAGAAATAAGTAAACATTTTAGTTGGGGATAATTGTAGGAGATAAAAGAGTTGTTGGCTCAGGTCTGCTCTGTTATGAATCATTCATGCATTTCTCGTATATTTGGAGGAGAGATAAAAAAAGAGGCGTTTCTTTAAACAGTAGACTTTAGTTTATGTTGTGGGGTTATCACCGCCGGGGGCCACAGAAGGAAACTGCTGCTGCAGCAACAACCAACCACACTACTGTAATGATGGTTTATTTGTTCTGGTTTTGACATGTGCATGGGGGAAGGGGGTCAGGCCCTTGTTGCATGGAGACATGGCATCCCCCACCTCATAATCGAGATAGCAACTTCTTAGGGGATTAGATGACAGCGAGAACACCATGATCCAACCTAGGAAGGGGGGTCTTTGCTCTAATTGTTGTTTTGATACAAAACAGTTTACTCCAACGCTGTGGGAATCGCGCACAGCTCGTAGCGTGTTCTGTTGCATTTTACTGTGCTACTCTCCCACTTTTCAAGACAATATTATCATGTCAATGCCTCTAAATGTCAGAGAAAATCCGAGCAGGTTCAATCGTGCCCGATAATAGCTGGCCTTTATAAAAGATTAGTTAAATCTTTTTTAGAGATGTCTCAAACTGGAGCAGCCTGCTCACTGTATGGGATTCACTCCTCAGCAGACGCTTGTTGTGAACAGTTAAGCAACAACAAAGGTGATCATTGGTTAAGAAGATAATAAGTTAGCTTTTTTTACTTTGCAGTTTAGGGCAGCAACTAATTCAGATATTTGATGATTATAAAACTGCTGTCTTTGTCGATAATTTCATTAAAAGTAGGGATGCACCGATACTGATCCGTTTGCTGTTTGTTACATACCAATATTGATATCTGCCCGATCCAGTAGGGATGCACCGAAACCAATACCGGTATCGGTGCATCCCTACTAGATCAGGCATAAAGTTAACCTATACCAATGCAGCTGCCTGAAAGTGACTTTGCTGTAACTTGTAATTTCTGTTCACCTAATATTTTAGTTTTGTGATCATTTCTATTAATATATTTATTTTGTATCTACCTCACAGTCTTTTCCTGTTGAAAGCAGAGAAGACAATAAAACGTGTATTCCAATTTATTGCATTTTTTGTGTAGTAGAAGTATCGGTATCGGTAATCGTATCGGCGAGTAATGGTAAATGGCCTGTATTTGATATAGCGCCTTCTAGAGTCCTGGAACCCCCCAAGGCGCTTTACTACACAATCAGTCATTCACCCATTCACACACACATTCACACACTGGCGGGGATGAGCTACAATGTAGCCACAGCTGCCCTGGGGCGCACTGAGGCTGCCGAGCACTGGCGCCACCGGTCCCTCCGACCACCACCAGCAGGCAATGTGGGTTAAGTGTCTTGCCCAAGGACACAACGACAGCGACAGACTGAGCGGGTCTCGAACCTGCAACCTTCCGATTGCGAGGCGAGCACTTAACTCCTGTGCCACCATCGCCCCGAGTACTCGGATCCAAGTAGCGGTATCGTATCGGTTTGGAAAAAAGTGGTATCGGTGCATCCCTAATTAAAAGCAAGGATCCATCTTAGCCTGGCAAGCTGTCCTGCCACAGTCCACAGCTCTCAGCCGTGGGGCGGGAGCTTCGGTTGTCTTTCAAACCATGTCTGCATGCTATTGGACAACAAACATGATGTACGTAACGCTACCGATGTCAGTCAACTGGGCGATCCACCATACACCATCGAAATTACATCAATTTTCTAAGTAAGCTTAAGTACCTCTAGCTGCTCTTGACTCAAAAAAAAAACCTGAACAGTCCAAAGTTGATGCCAAAGCTGATTCAAACGAGCCGCTGCCATCTTGGTTTTGCTCAATTGCACCAACACCCCCCCCACCAAACAGATAGACTGCTGTGATTTTGCTTTGGCAGCCAACAGTCTAGATTTCTATGCATCTGCTTTTTCTAAAAACTGATACATATTTGTATTATATCATCAATCTTATTTATTTTCCATAGTTGTTGGATTAATAATGCAACGTCTTTCTCTGTTTTGTGTTCTGCGATGGTCAAATCCATGTGTAAAATGGTCTCCTCATTCGTCTCCAACAGCTCTTACACAATCTACGGTAGTCCTCTGAAACAACCCCAGATCATAACAGAGAGTTGGTGCTCCTCCTTAAATAATTCCATAATGATATAGTTATCAAGCCTTAAAGACATATTTTTGTCCAGGCAGGTTTGCATTATCAGTTTTAACACAATAAAACTTCATCTCTGCATTTGAATTTTTACTTTTTTTCTGCTTTTTAGTATCACTGGAGTTTGTTATTATTATTAGCTGTTTAATCTTTTTAGACTTTGTAATATTTAACCATTTTTGTACTCATTTGTTTAATTTGTCATGCAGATCACATTGTCGTGAATAGAACAATGTGCAGAAAAAAACAACGCACCTTGTTTATCTTTAATGCTGATCTAAAATCAACAAAACAATCTGAGAAAAAAATTAAGAAATAAATCACAGCAGCAGTTAATTTGGGGGCAAAAAAACCAAAACAGCTAATTGGAGAATTAGAAAATCGCATTTCGGGTATCCTTTGTGTTCTCCTGTGAGAGTTGGACTAAATCTGCTGACCCAGCTCGGTCGTATCAGCAATAAATAACAGCTGCATCACCTGCCTTTAAAATAAATACCAGTTTCTCTTACTGGGAGCTTTTTATTCACATTTACGTCCATTTCTTTGCAGATTCTTTTGTCAACAGCCAGGAATGGACACTGAGTCGATCCGTTCCAGAGCTGAAAGTGGTGAGTAAATACATTTTTCATTCCTGCTGATTTCCCCTCTGAAGTTTTCATTACACTGATGGATTTAAACACCAGTGGGGCCGCATGTTAAGCTTGTGTAAGACTAGTTTTGCATTTCACATGAGAAGGAACATTTGAGGAATTGGCTGGACTTTCCTTCTGGCACTTAGTGATTTTTTTTTTCCTTTTCTTGTCTTAATGAGACGTGTTGGCATGGAGATGCAAGGTGGTTTGCAGCAGGACGTGGGATGAGTGACAGTTTTGGGGTAGACTGGTGACAGATCCTGGGTCTGATCCCAGTGAGGCACACTCACACAAAGCCACTGCCAAATGCACAGCCAACATCCTCATATGGTTTAATGTTGTCTGCTTATGAAGTCAAGCAGCCTTGAAAAGCTTCACCCTAGTTTATTTTATTTTTTCTGTTTTAGGGGATTTTTGTCCCTGGAAGTTGAATCCTTTTATCTGGAAAAAAAAGAAAAGGTCGATTAAATGAAGACCCGTTTGCTTTAACTGGCTTCCGACACTTCAAACGTGCCTTTTCCGTTTTATGATGGCGAGGTGTTAATTGGCAGTTTCCACACTGGGGCTTGTTAACCGGACCTGGAGAGAGAAAGATCATTTCACTCAAAACTTTTAAAGAGTCCAGCGACAAGACGCTTGTCACCGGCCTCGAAAAGGATCGTTTTAAAATTTCCATCACTTCAATTTCAATAAAAAGAACAGCGATGGAATCGTTTCCTGCAGATTAACTGGGCTGATCGTTATCCTGATGAGAACCTCTAATCTGTTGGATACAAGGTTCCTTCTGAGCTCGGGTGAACTTTGGTGAACCCAACTTTATTGCCACCATTTTCTTCATCGGCACCGAGCTCAAAGAAGAGCAAACGCTGTTTGTAGTGGTGGAGCGCTGAGGATGCATTTTGTTTTCACAAGGCCTGTGTAACCAGCGGGTTTCAAAGCTGAGCTGGTAAAACGGCAGGAGCATTAGCTCTCAGGCGCAATCAAAGCCCTTTTTTTTTTTTTTTTTTTTTCTCTCATAACGTTTGCAAACCGATTGCAGTATTTATTCTTCTTTGGTACTTCCTGATAAACATACGCTGTCTTGGAAGGTCCTCAAGTCGTATTTATTTTCCCATGTGCATCAAACATCTATAATTAGACCCATACCTGGCTTTATCACCCACTAATGATCTGATGAAGAAGAAGGAGCGACGGTGGGTGGAGGAGGAGACGGTGCATCCTTTTGTTCTTTCCAGACATGCAGGCATCATCAGCCCACCCTGCACCAAGCATCGCCCTGAAGGCGTTTCAGTGAGGTCTGGCGTTGACGTTGGGGAGTTGAAGTAGAAGGACTCTAGTCAAGCTGCTGTGTTTTACTAGACTGGCTATAATTGTGGATCAGCACCTCCAAATCTGAGACCATGGTTCTCGACCGGAAAAGGGTGGCTTGCCACCTCCGGGTCGGGGGAGAGGTCCTACCTCAAGTGGAGGAGTTTAAGTATCTCGGGGTCTTGTTCACGAGTGAGGGTAGGAGGGATCGGGAGATCGACAGGCGGATTGGTTCGGCGTCTGCAGTGATGCGGACGCTGAGCCGATCTGTCGTGGGGAAGAGGGAGCTGAGCCAGAAAGCCAGGCTCTCGATTTACCGGTCGATCTACGTCCCAATCCTCACCTATGGTCATGAGCTTTGGGTAATGACCGAAAGAACGAGATCGCGGATACAAGCGGCCGAAATGAGTTTCCTCCGTAGGGTGGCCGGGCTCAGCCTTAGAGATAGGGTGAGGAGCTCGGACATTCGGGAGGGACTCGGAGTAGAACCGCTGCTCCTCCGGATCGAAAGGAGCCAGTTGAGGTGGTTTGGGCATCTGGTCAGGATGCCTCCTGGACGCCTCCCCGGGGAGGTGTTTCGGGCATGTCCTGCCGGCAGAAGGCCCCCGGGTCGACCCAGGACACGTTGGAGAGGTTACATCTCCAATCTGGTCCGGGAACGCCTTGGGGTCCTGCCGGAGGAGCTGGTGGACAAGGCCGGGGAGAGGACGGCCTGGAGCTCCCTAGTTGGGATGCTGCCCCCGCGACCCGGACCCGGATAAGCGGAGGAAGACGAGACGAGACGAGGCTATAATTGCTCAGCCTCTCCTGGTTTTAATAAATTATCGGTTTCTGCTCTTTGTTCCTAAAACACACCAAAGGTTGTTTTTTTTGTTTTTTTGTTTACCCTCCACATAACTTTGGTTTCTGAGCCAAAAGGGAATAAAAATCTACTTTAGTGCTTCATATTATGCATCAGGGCTCACCATTTACTGTCTTATTTGGGTTTTTTATGCAGGCAAATAGGTCTGGGAGAGAAGATTGTCCCTACTGAGAGAAACTGAATGACCCAGCTGGGTGCACAATCTCCTAAAAAACAGTCTGGTTTAAGAGCCCAGCATCTCATTTTTGGGCCTGATACTGTAAATATATGAAATATTTTATGTCCAAATACATTCAGCTGCTGATTTTGTGGAGTCATGTGCAGCAGCAGCTGTTATGAGTCATTATTTTGATACAGACTTGCTCTAATCCTGAAAACCCGTTAAAAGCAGCCCTGATGTTGGATTTCTGCAAATTAAAGGAAGAATCTGGGAAAGAGGGGACACAACACGGCATCCATGAATGATGTCTGCTTCAATTTCAGGATCAGAGCGGCGGCGTCCTTAGGGAGGCTGTAGCACTTCAGACAGATGAGGTGCGATGTGCAAGATGAGAAAAATAATGTGTTTCTGAGGATTGAAGCTTGTGAAGTTGTTTCAAAAATATAAGCTGGAAGGTGACAACGTGGATCACACAGACACTCCACACGGGCAAAGATTATTTTTTTTTTTTTAGTTTGTGCCAATGCAAAATAAAAAGGTTGCAAAAGTAACTCAAGTCAAACGTTATTTGAAGGTTTTGAGTTTTCTGGTCAAATATGGAGAAACGCAGGCTCATTTCCTTATTTTTTAAATGAAATGTGGATTAGCAGCTGCCTTTTAGAGGAAAAAAATCACATTTTTGCTACATTTCATTTACAGGTTTTGTTCTTTTTTGACATGGCGATAATAACCAGTGTTTTGCCCTTGGCTTTGCAGGGCATTGTGGGAAATCTGTCCAGTGGGAAATCTGCCTTGGTGCATCGGTACTTGACAGGCACGTATGTGCAGGAGGAGTCTCCTGAAGGTAAGAAGTCCTCTGAAGTTGAGGTAGACCGATATATCGATTGGCCAATGTTTCGGGCAGATAGCTATTGTTTTTATACATCAGCTGATATTTGTCCTTAATGAAGCCGATTTAAAGTCAGGCACATCGTCCGGCAGCCTGGCGTTGTTGCAAAATTTTATTTAAATTGTACGTTCACTAATAACATCTGCATAATAAATACTCTAACTTTATTCACATGTCAGACTTTAACGCTGAGCAGTGCACAAAGTAAAGGTTTAACAGTTGGTTAAATTTAGAGTTCAAAAACTGATTCAGCTTCAGAAATTTTGTGCATCAACTGATGTTATTCTTGACAGTTTAGCATGAAAATAAAGTAGAACATGTGTAGATATTGGCCATAAAAATGGGCTCATAAAAATCAGCAGTAGATATTCATCGGTATCGGCAATAGAAAAACCAATGTCGGTCGACCCCTACTACGATAGTTTAGACAAATTTGTTAAATGATTGAAAATCTTTATTGTTACTGTTATTTTTATTTCAGATTTAAAAGTACATGGAAGAAAAATGCAGATTTCAAGAAGTGGTCAATATTTTACTTGGTCAAATGGTTATTTATTGAGGAGAATCACATTTTGATATTCAAACGTTCTTTAGTTGATGATCAGCTGATAGGGCGATCTAGAAACTGATCTTCACATTCTTGTGGAAGTGCTTCAAGAAAATACGATTTTTAGCAGCTTGCCGATGCTCATCCGACTGTAAACATGTGACTCCAACAGAATATTTCAGTTCGAATGAGAAGTTTCACTATTTCTGCATAGTGTCATGATCGGAACCGGTTTTTCTGGCTCTGATGTCGAGAACTGATAAGTGAACACAGTTGGGCTTTCATTTATGTGTCACACTAGATACCAAAGGCAAGTTTTATTTCTGTTTTCAGACAAACTAAAAAGTACAGTGACAATTTCTGTTTTCTGCTAGTTTAAAAAATCAGGTTTTCTACAAAATATTCTGATTATTGTTCAATAAAATTACTCTTTAGGGAAGGACAAACACATCGGGATATTTGTGTAAATTTGGGTTCTTGTGAGAAATTCGGCTGATTAGTTAACAACAATGTACAAATAAATAACTGCATCTTATCCTGCTGCTCTAAATCTGCAGACAAAAGAACAAAGCTTGACATTTCATGTAAACAATGTCTTACATTAGAAATAAGACATAAAGGTTAAAGAGCAAGTCATCCCCTACCAGAGTCCCACTCCTTCTACATTTTGTAAGATGAGCCAAAAGGAGGCGTTGCCTGGTGGTCTGTGAGGGCGGCGTTGCAGCTCATTGTAGACTCAAACCACTGACAAACACACCAATAAACAGGTGTGACCAAGTCACTGCTTTTCAAGTCACAAGTAAGTCACAAGTCTTTTCATTCAAGTCTCGAGTCAAGTCCAAGTCAAAGACAACCAAGTCCAAGTAGAGTCCAAAGTCAGTGATGTGGAAGTCCAAGTCAAGTCCAAGTCCTTATCTTTGAATTTTCAAGTCATACTCAAGTCATCTGTCTAACTTATATTTACGTTTAATTTTGAAAATGATAATAAATAAATCCCAGAAATAAAGCTTCTTAAAGCTTCATTTATTTGCTCAAACAGCAGAAAGTGCAACTGAAACTGATTCTAAACAAAGCGCTGCTGCATTTAGCCGTACAAGATCAAACCCAGAACAAAGAATGATTTAGGATTTTTGTCCTTGTCGAGCCACTTTTGTGCTAAAATATCAAAAATGCTCAAGTCATCAAGTCAACAGATGCAAGTCGATTCAAGTCGCAAGTCATTGGCGTTGAAGTTCGAGTCAAGCCGTAAGTCTTTATAGATTTTATCAAGTCAAGTCAGAATTCATTACAATTACGACAGCGGTAGTGCAGCCATGTCACATGTTCCGGCTAATGCCAAATATCACTGCTTAGCCAATAGCGATGGCTGATTAAAATTCAAATGTATTGCACACTTTAACCCAAAAAGGGCGCTGCACTGATGGTTTTAGGCAGAATTTTTTATTTTATTTTAAAGAAGATGCATTAAAATGCCAAAATAACAACACTTGTCTTCAGCACTATTAGACACATCAGTTGATCAGCAAAACAAGTTGATTTGGAAGTTACTTTAAATAAAAATTCTTTAAAGAGAAAGCCATCATTGCAGTCCTGACGTGAAGCCAGATTTAGCGGTGTCTGTTTGCACCCGAGGAGAAACGTTAACAAGAATGCCCCCTTTTGCCCCGGAAGGTTCGTCCTTCAAAGACCCACAAAAGATGTTGGCAAACCCAGAGTTAACTGATGATCTTCGAGGGGCTTGCCGCATTTCGTTTTTAGTGTAATTATAGTGTGGATGAGACATGAAGCGCATAATTAGTTTCTGGCATTTCGCTTCACCAAGGGAGGAAAAAAAATCCTCATAGCTTAATTAGTCCTTGAGAAATCAATGGTGGAAACGCAGGAAAAAAAGGAAAGAAACAGAGAAGGGTGTTGCTGTAATCAGGAAAAAAAGTCAGTTCCTGTTCTGTGTGTGTGTGTGCGTGTGTGTGTGTGCGTGTGTGTGTGTGTGTGTGTGTGTGTGTGTGTGTGTGTGTGTGTGTGTGTGTGTGTGTGTGTGTGTGTGTGTGTGTGTGTGCGTGCGTGTGTGTGTGCGTGTTTGTGTGTGTGTGTGTGTGTGTGTGTGTGTGTGTGTGTGTGTGTGTGTTCTCTCTCGCCGCTGCGAGTTGCTGTGAGACAGCATACCTGTGCCGTTAGAGCTGCTTCTCTTCGTTTCATGTGTGCTTCCACGCTGGATTTTCTCCAGTTCCGGTGTTTACCTTGTAGCAGCATCACCCGGCTGAGGAAGGTTCAGCTGTTGCTGTTTCTTTTTTCTCTCACTGTTTTGTTCCTGGGCTTTTGCCATGAAAATAAATAAATAATAAAACCGGTACCGGGGTGTGTTTCTATGGCAACACCGGATGGAGCGCCGCCGGATTGTGGCTCTGAGTCAAGGTCTAAGCCCCCGTGCAAAGCGATGTATGCTCACAGCATGTTAAGCTCGCGTAACTTGCTGTTTCAGGTGCAACAGTGTTACTCGACAGTTTATTAGTTAGTTTTCAGGTTGTTAAGCTTGAACATGATTTAATTTAAGATTTAGTTTCCATTTTGCTTCAAAGGGTGTCTCACGTGTTCACATCACTGGCTTTCTCCTTGGATGCATTTTATTCTCCCAGCTCTAAATAAACATGTTCTGGTTTAATGTGTAATAAAAATGCGTTACCTTTAATCCGTCCCTGTTTTTAACAGAGCTGTATGCGTTACTGGAAAGCCTTCCCTATAATCTAGTCTGGCACGTGCATGTTGCTGATTTCCCGTGATAAATCTGTACTTTTCTGCTCTGAGATTCTTGTTTTTTTATAACAAGAATCAAACATTCATTTGAGCTGCTTTGAAGACAAAACTCTTGGTGGCGTTTCATCAATCTTTGTGTTTTATAACAAAACAAGCATCCGAACGAGGCTCTGGGGCCATTGCAAGAATGTGGGAGAATCCTTTTATTTGCCCGGCAGTCTAAAGTGGACTTAACAGGCTAGAATTATGGCTCAAGTGGTTCTTTATTGCTTGCTGACACAGGAAATACTGTCCTCCATTTAGAGAAAAATATTGCTCCCTACTTCTGCGTGGCCCTTCTCCTGTGTGGTGAGATATGCTGGTAAACCAGAAGGATCTGTTTAGCAGAAGATGCACGTTTGCCACCGCTGGAATCTTATTTGGACGTTTTTCACAAGCGACACAAGATCCTTTTCAATGTTTGCATTATTCAATTCTGTCAAATAGCCTTCAGCATGTTTTTGTATTCATAAAGGCGACGTTTTTTGCTCCACGGGACATCTCTATCCTTGCAACTTTCTCATTTGAATCTTTTTAATCTCCACAGGATCGACAAACCATTCAAATGATATGCAAAATCTAATTTACTGCACGGTTCTCCCGATGGCCTCTTCCTTATCTGCAGACGGCTTTGCTGGCGGCAAAACAGATGCGTTTACATCAGGAGAGAAATGAAAAGGGGAGACAGACTTGAGGCTGAATGAGAGACGAATGTTAGTGCCTCCCTGCAAAACTGTGGACCTTTTTGCACCCTTTGAGTTTTCTTTGTTAAGGTAGTTTTACTCGTGTCGTGACGGGACTGTAAGCTTTGTTGTCATCAGAGTTATTGTCTCTGTTTCAGTAAGATTGAGAGGCTGAAGAAACATTCTGATGTTTGTGAAGGCTTGGCCTTCTCGACTTGTAGCAGAGCAGCAATAGTGGCTCCTTCAGCAGCTGTGCATTAGACATGCTTAATGGCAATTTCTCCCACCCATAATTGGCTCCAGAGGGACTCGGTTTCCCGTCTGCGTATGATCCACACATCACATTCAGGACGTCTAAATTGAGAAAGCATTTCTAAACTCATGCATTTTCTCAAACCTTCACGAGCCATGCCAAGCTGTGTTTGGATACAGAATTTTGTTTTATTTACGGTATGTCTTTTTCTTTTTGTTACCGAGTGTAAAACATATTTGCAGTCTTCTTTTTGTTGTACTGAAACTCCCTCGTATGTGGCCATTACACCCAAACAGTCCATTTCCAATATCATCTCACCTGTAATATTTCTTCTTCAGGTGGACGTTTCAAGAAGGAAATTGTGGTGGATGGACAGAGCTATCTGCTGCTCATCAGAGATGAAGGAGGCCCTCCAGAATTGCAGGTAGGAGGGCAGATTCTTCAAAACACCCCTTTCCTCTGAAGCAGCAACACTTGTGGAGCAGAAACTGTCTGCAAGCTGTCACGCAGACACAAACTGTTTGAGACAGATCATGAATTCCCCGCAGGACTGCCAGGAGAAGTGTGACGGCACCCCGGGGTTGTTCCACCAGATACAAGGCGCACACACACACACACACACACACACACACACACACACACACACACACACACACAATCAAGTTACCACAAGAAAAATAATTAGCCTGTGGTCAAAAGGACAAGATTTTGTCAGTTTATATTTATTTGTGGAACAAATTTACAAATTTTTATTCAAAGTCAAGATGTTCACTGAGAAACCATTTTTTACATGTAATTTTTGAAATATGATCGGTCACTCCGAATTTCACATGCAGGCTAAATGTGACCAGTGTCTTCTACCCCTGTGTCCTGTATTAGCCGCCGATAAAAGATAGTCGGTGAAACGCTCGGATTAAAAAAGCCACTCAGATCAATGTCACGCGGAAAATTAACATTAATGGGCCCTGGATTGTGATGAGGAAGGTTGTTGTTGATTTAGCATACAGGAGAGAGCAGAGCAGGCTAGGAGAAGCTAACCATTAGCATTAGCAACTTCACAACATGGGAGAACTTCAGGCTTGAGTTATTTGTGGAGATAAAACATCAACGTTGCAAAGCAAACAGTCAGTGGTAGAGTCCTGTTGCTGTTAGCCAATCAGAGGCAGGAAATAAGACTAAATCCTGCCGTCTTCTGCTCACTTCTGCTCTGGCTAACTTCTAGTTCCTGAAACTGGAGCGCCAGAGCTTATTTTTTCTCATTTATACTAGAGACCACTGCAAATGTGTTGAAAAAAACAAGTGAATTTGGTTTTAAACAGGAAAAATGACATGATTTTGCTTCAGATCTATCATCTGGGTTTCTATTTTGAACTTATTTTTGAGCTGTGGTGTTGGGTGTTACCCAGAAACGCCACTCCAGTTCTGGTTCATGCATTACTCTTTTCATCATTAAAGTTTTACTTTTTTTCTGTCACTGTGCAGGTTCTAAAAAAACAAATAAAAAGATAAATAAATAAAGCCACAATGCTGGAGAACAATCTGCCGCTTGATCTTGAAAGCCATTTTTTGTATGAATACATGGTTAAATCTGCGCCTGAGTTTAGTGTTGACCCCTCCCCCACACTGCTGCTGTTTGCAGCTCATTGGTAAATGAACAAAAATAGACCTTTTTCACAATGAACAGTAACTAATGCACAGCACAATGTTATATTAGTGTAGGCAAAGCTGACCGTAAACAGGGATAACAGTGTGACCAATGTCATAAACATCATAGTTCATGGTTTATTGTATTATTGGTTAACTTCTTATTAATTTCACTATTTACAACATAATCTTACCTGTGTGGGTAGCTTCAACAGTCTGCTGGGACAGAATGTCACTTCTATTTATTTACATCTTATTGCGGTGTCCCTAAAATGAGTCCCTCTGCCCCGTGTGAGCAGGATACCCCGTTTGCAACTGCAGCCTCTCCAGACTGCTGCCCTGAAGTCTCACAAATTCACACTTTACGGCGATCCATGTTTACACCTCAGAACAGTCGAGCTATACCTGGTTAGCATCTATTGGAACGTGTGTAATAACAGTAGCAGTGGGTGGCGTGGGCGGAGTTACCGAAAACACAGGGCCTGAGCTGCCGATGCCATCTAACTCCTCGGTAATTAACCTCTGAGGACGGCGGGTGTATCCCACGGCTCGTGTCCTGCAACATGACGTTTGTGGCAGATGTCGTGTGATCTAGGCACCAGCGGCGTGTCCAGATCTTTTAAAATGGGGTGGCCCAGGTGAGGCACAACTTTGTGCATGGGTGGCACTAATGGTTATGCTTTTCTTGTTTTAGCCCCAAGCCTTTTTGTGGACAACCTATTTAAAGGTAAATTAGTGTGTTGGCACCTGGGGTGGTCAATCAGATTCCAAGGGTGGCATGTGCTACCCCAGGCCACTCCCTGGACACACCCCTGCTAGGCACCCAGCTGCTGTACAATTTGCACGCCCCGGATCGGTCATGTCCCACGTCCCACTTTACACCTTTTACATGTGCTTATCATGGTGGAACCTCATAAGAAACAAAGAAAACATTTATCTGATGAATATAAAAATAAAGAGAACGTCCGACCAGAATAGGAGTCAAACAAGAGTAAATATTGGGAGTTTATGAACCACCGCAGGTCCTGCATGTTTTGGATCGTGAACACAGCTGATTAGTTTGATTTAGTGATGAATCGCTCCTGTAGAAACTAATGACTGCTGAGAAGACGTTTCAGCAGTTGGATTAAGGTGTTAAAAACAGAGAGGAGAGTTTCTGTTTTGTTTTAAAAATGATGCTAGCCAAAACTGCTAGGTTTCCCTTTAAAAACAAAGATGAGCACGTCAGACAGTATTTTCTAATTTATTATCATTAGCTTTAAGTTAGATAGAAATGTAGGATCAACACTAGTTGCACTGTCTGGAGACGGTAGAAGGAGTAGATTTCTAACAAGCTGCATGACTTGAATTTGCATAAATGTCATGAGTGCGTGTGAATTTCCAGCATGCAGATCAGCGAGGATGACTGGCGACAGAGCCTTACCTGCAAGAATCATAGCAATGTGTTTTACGAGTCAGGAAGGAGAGTGGTTATGGGTTGGAGACAGACGAAAAAGGAAGCGGTAGAAGTAATGATGGTAACGTTTGCTGCAGGAGCGGTGAGGCTGGACAGGTTTGGGACTGAGGAACAGCTCAGGGTGCTGGAGGATGGGCAACGTTTGAGATAAAGAAAGAAGATGGAGGGTTATAAAACTGTACAGTTGGTAAAAGAAGTGAAACAGTGAACATACGAAGAATTATTGAGTAATTTAAACAGTTTGGTTAGCGCTGAAGCCTCAAAGCCCCACCCTGGAGAGAACGCGCAACTACTTGTGGTTTCATTCACAAGCTGTGTCGCTGCTGGTATATTTATCTCTCGGCTCTTCACAGCTACTGATGCCTTTCCAGACAAAGCTCTGATTTACACTTGCATTACGCACACCGAGATCAGGGAATAGATATGAGTTTGGCTCAGTTGTCAGCTGCCTGTATAATTAGAGGCATAATTAAAGGCCTTCATTATGTTCCCACTCAGACTTGTGGCTCGAAGGCTTGATTTGCCATTCACGCCGCGGCCAACGGAGCATCCTGGAAACTGTGGAAGCCGAATAATGACACAATGTGGGGACATAGTTTGATGTTTGATTGTCATAGTTACCATTGTGTTGTAAACTCTGGATTTTTCCCAAGGTAAATGCTGGAATAGGTTTGTTTTGTGTTGAAGAAAAGATTTCTCAAATATTGTGAATATAAATAATTAAAGACAATTCTATAACTGCTTAATTATGTTAAAAGCAGGAATCAGGTAAACTGGTATTACGCTGGTTGCTCATTCCTTATTATGGCTGCTGCAACACTGCCCCCTTCTGTCTGTCTTCATAAAGTACATCAGTAGGAAGAAACGTTGCCTTCTCTTTTAAAAAACGCTCTCCTATGAATCAACATTTTCTAAAAATACATAATAAAAGTTTCTGTAATGTCATTTTCTAATTTTACACGTGATGCCTGAGTTTGCAGTTATGTTGGAACATAACTTGACATAATTTGTTTTTTCTGTCCTCCCTGCTTCGTCCTCAGTTCGCCGCCTGGGTGGATGCTGTGGTTTTCGTCTTCAGCCTGGAGGATGAGATCAGCTTTCAGACGGTCTACAATTACTTCCTGCGCCTATCCAGCTACAGAAACACAGCTGAGGTGCCCATGGTCCTCGTTGGAACACAAGGTGTCTGACACACACCTGCTCTAAGAGCTTCCTACATTAGTGAAGCTGTTCGTGTTTCTGCTCCGTCCATCGCTCTGATTTGATGAATGTCCTCTCTCCTGCTCTCTTCTGTTAGACGCAATCAGTGCTGCCAACCCCAGAGTGATCGATGACGCTCGAGCTAGAAAGTTGTCAAACGACCTGAAGCGCTGCACGTACTACGAGACCTGCTCCACCTACGGCCTGAACGTGGAGAGAGTCTTCCAGGATGGTGAGAGGGAGTGCTGTTCACTCTTTGTTGTAATGACTGCGTTTTTGCATTTTTCAGCCACGCCGTGCTTCCTCCTTGCGTTAATTGGTTTCTGAAGCCCAATTTGAAACGATTAAAGAATGCTGTGTGTCTGGAGACGTCGCCGTGCGTAACTGTTGCCTTCACGCTCTGCATTCGCCGTGCTGCAGCAGGCAGCCGTGCGTTTTGGTCCCAGCTGTCGATGCAGCTTCACATCATCCCTCTTCTTCCCTCTGAGCTAATTCACGTCACGCAGCCATGAGCCTCTTCCCCTCTCCTCCCCACTCCACCCAGATGAGTGTGCTGTGAATTAAATAAGGGAATGTTTCACATACTGCAAAGCAAATCAAGGCATTCTCGTGGCTACAAGACTCATTTAGATGATCTGAGACACACAGGTCCATTTTTATTGTTGCCTCTGCTGGAAAAAGATACACACAGGGACTACAATCCTTTTTACCTGACCGGAAAACAAATGACTCAAGGTGGTTCGGTGTGATTTTAGAGCTGGAAAGAAAAACACACGGTTGCTTTAATAAGGATTATTAGCATTCTGTGTTTTGCTAAGTCAAAACCTGATGAGAGCTTTCTCTACTCGAAGGGTTTGCTCATCCCATTATAGCCCTCAAGGTCCTTGGATTCCAGCTCCACAGATGTTTCAAGCGGGCCCCTGAACTCCTCCAAGTGCTTTCTTACAGGAATGCCACTCGTCCTTCCTGAGTCGACCTACACAGCTGGCTGTAATGCACACGTCTCAGATTTGGTAGCAAAGCTGAGAACACTGGACAAGAGTCATGTGTATCCATAAAGGAACGATAGATGAAGGCACCGGGTAGCTGGGGCTATCAGACTTATGAGCCATGCTAGAAGCACTGGGCACCTTTCTCCAGAGCTATGGATCGGTGAACGGGGAAAGTTAACAAATCAAGTCAGTGAGCTAAACGACTTGCTAATTAACTCTATCAATTCTTTTGTATTTTTCTACTATTTGATCAAACCGTCATCATCCCAGTAAATGAGGATAATTTTAGCACAAGGAAAGTAACAAAATTCCAACGCAAAATAAAGTTGGCACATTCACTGTCAAACGTGATATGCTTCCTAGTTAGATCATCTCTGAGGCTAGATTTCTGCTTCGCTGACGTGAGCGTTTCTGACATTTTTCTCAGACGCATCTGCTGCAATCACCCAGAAATGCTAGTTAGGTGTGGAACTTCTGTTCGACAAACCCGTTTTTCTGAGCTCGTGGAGAGCTGATAAATGTTCAGCTGTAAAATAAACTAAATTGTATTAGAATGACAACTTGGTGTCTAAGCAGAGTATTTGTGCTGATGGTGTACAGAAACACATGCTGGTCGTATGTTTCGTCCATCACCCGTCACAGTCTGTTACTGTGTTTTTCCTCCAGTTGCCCAGAAGGTTGTGGCCATGAGGAAAAAGCAGCAGCTCTCTATTGGTCCTTGTAAATCCCTCCCTAATTCTCCCAGCCACTCATCAGTGCCGGCTGCATCCATCCCCTCTGTTCACATCAACCAGGTAAGATCCCGTTCTTCCTACATTTTGTATTAATTTAAAAAAATCAAATAAAACTGACGAGGTTTGGAAAATTCTGCGCACATTGCAGCAACCTGAACTGACCTTTTTTTTTTAAACTCCCATCTTCTTCTTTTACAATCCTTGTCTTCCCCTCCCTCCTCTCCTGATTCTGTCGGTTCCTCTTAATCCCTCTCATTCCCCAGGCAGCCAATGGCGGGGGAGCATTCAGCGACTACTCCTCCTCCGTCCCCTCCACCCCCAGCATAAGTCAGCGGGAGATGCGCATTGAGACCATCGCTGCCTCCAACACGCCCACGCCCATCCGCAAGCAGTCCAAGCGCCGTTCCAACATTTTCACAGTAAGTATGCGACAGCTGATGCAAAGCAACACCCACTCACACTACTAGGAGGAGGAATGTGGCCAGGCTCACGTTTCTTTTTCCACCAGAGGGAGACAGGTAGCTCAAAAAGTGCATCAAAGCCACCTCTCCTGCCTTCGAGTCAGGCAAAGACAGCAACTTGTTCACACTGCACATCAAGCTAAGCAGAGTGAGGCTTGTAGATCTCATTTTAGATTCCCAAAAATACTCAAAAAAAAACATCCTTGAAGCAAATACCAGAGATAAACACTGTGGAATTAAACATCAGTTCTTTTCCTTGTCCTTTATACTTTTCTAATTGGATGTAGTGAGTGGCTTGAGTTTTTCATCTCACCCATTACAAACTAGGCCCTCTGCGCTCTCTAAGTTTTTGACCTCCCACCCCCCCACCCCTCTTATTTTTGCTAGATCCTTTCTTTTCAGTGACTTCCTTGTTGTGGAGAGATGGCAGCAACAACTTCTCCTGACCCACCGAGCTGAACTAAAAACCCAAACCAGCTTAATGGCCTGTTTACATGCTGCTAGTAAAGCATATCTGCATCCTCCAACCGCCCATCTCCTGACAGAACAGCTCTAATGTCCGCTGATCGTCCTGCTCGATCCAGATAGCCCCGCCCACCCTGTACTTTTTACTCTGGCTCGTGTGATTGTTGATCACCCAGACTAGCTACGACACCAGTTCCGACCCCCGTGTGCGTGCTCTTTACCCCATGTCCTGTCATATTTGCTCTTTGCTCTGACCAGTAGCATATGTGTGCACTAACCACTCTAATTTTCTAAGCTTGTCTTTTACTTGTAGCTTCTGCCCTCTTCTTCTACCTTTCCTTTTCACAACTCTACCTTTTTGCTAGACTTCTTCTTTTGCTCCCAAGTCTTGCAAAGCCATATCAGCATCTCAGAAGCTCAAGAACATCGGTACATACATTTATTTTTTGTTCTATTTTGAGAAACACATACAAAAATATCAGCTTTCATTTCAAATCGTGATAAAAAGATGAACATCCAGCTATGAAAATTTCCCAAATCAACAGTAGCTTTTATTTATTTATTTATTTATTTTGTATTTGTAATTCCCATTCATTGTTTTAATTATTTTTTTATGAAACAAACTCTAAAGTGTGAATGGGATTTGATCAGATTAAAGCCACCCAGGTTTAAGGAAGCTCAGTTTTTATCAGGATTTTTGGAGTAAATGCAAAAACGAGCAAGCTGGTCTCTTGTCCAAAAACGATGAGAATAAAGATCTGGCTATGTGAGATTTACCTTCTCCTATCTTCCGTTAGACACACTTTACCCATCTTTGAAATCCTCCCCCTCTCCACCTGTCTGTCTTGCTTCTGTCTCACTCTCTGCTTTCCTTCTATAGCTAATGCTTTCTCTGAGTCTCCTATCTGTTTCCCTCCCCTTCTTCTATTTTTTCTTCTGCCTTGATCCTTTGACTCCGGCTGCTGTGGAAGCCGCAGGTTTTGTGGCCTCCGAGCAGTACAGGCTGGTGCTAGCTCCCCTTGTTGTCTCCCTTCCCCCCCTGCTAGGTAGTGACTAACCATGTCCACCAGAGAAATGAGCCTCTCCCCATCCGCGTCATGGAGATCCCGAAGCACGCCACCTACCCGGTGTGGGTGCCGGAGTGGCAAGCCGAGCGGGAGTTTCAGCTCATGACCTTCTGAGGAGCGGCGAGCCCAGGGTGGGAAGGAGGGAGGGTGAAGGCGGAGGAGGAGGAGGACGGAAGGTTAACTGGGAGATGTCAACATTTCTTCAGTGACACTTGAAGAGTGCGATGGGCTCAGGAGATGAAGACTTGCTGTGGAAATAATTTTAAAAAATGACCTTTTGCCATTTCACAAAATAAACAAAGAGAGAAAAATTTTCCATCAGCACAAGTGTCGAGGGTGTCCCTTTTCTAGCTTTTTCCATCCCAAAAAGAAATCGATCTCTACGTTACAAGTTCTCTACCAGTCCTGCAAGTCAGTGAGAATGTTGACTTTATGTTAATTTTGGAGGAAAAAAGTAATAAAGACAGAAAATATGCCTTAATGTCATTGGTAGATTCGCTCAGATTGTCTAATGGACCAGTCCAGTTCAGTCACAGTTGTGGCGTTGGTACTGGGACTCCTAAAACAAAACAAAAACATGTTAACAATGTCAGAGTGCAAGACTTCAGTTTTTATATTTGGTCTCATTTGAATCGGCTCCAGAAAAGCCCCCCTCCCATCTTTGTAACAAATACGTGTTTGGCTGTTTGAAGTAAGTAAATAATACTCCAACCATCACGTCAGAAGATTCTCCTCACATTGTCTTCTCCTCGCCTTCACACTTGTTACACCAACCAGTCATTACTGCTCTTGGCCACTAGGTGTCAGTGCAGCACGCATTATTCTTTCCTAGTGCTTCCATGGTCGAAAGCTAGAAAGCTAAACCAATTCTGTCTGGTGTGCTCTTCAGACTGTCTGTCCCCTCTTTTTTGTTGAAAAGCACACTTTTAGGGATTTTAAATAAATAACACGACATTTTTTATACTTAACTCCATCCCACTTTATTAACCCATGCTCTTTTATTAGTGTTTGCCATTCGGTGTTTCCCATTCCATGTTAGCTTTCTTATTTTGTTTCTGGATCTCCATAAACAAATACAACAAAAAATAATAACCATTTGACACTGTTTTTTAATATTTGCAGATTTGTGCTTCTGTTTCCAACCTTTCTTCAACAAAAAGGGCTTTCCAACTCCTTCCGAATTAGAAGAGCATGATGATTAAAAATACAGAGTTCATCTGCTTTGCCAGTCCTGATAGAGAGGAGGTTATTGGTTGAGGACTTTCATCTTTTTGCCGCTTTACCCTAAGTGTTTTATCAACATTTTAGGGTAATGCGAATGGCAACAATCGGACTTTGCGTCTAACGCAGCCTAGAGTCGAGTTTATTGGACGCACTTAAAGTAGACTGTCGAATCTAGCGAGACAGACTTTAGGGACTCTTGGAAACGCCCCACATCCACCCGTTTGCCTGCTCCGCCTTGTGCTCTCATTCAGACATGCCATACAAAACAAAAAACAAAAACTACAACACTGTACAGTCAAGTCACTCTTGGAACTGTTATCCAACCACCCAAAGGACACGACCTTTTTTCCTTACATGACATCACACTGCCTTTTTTCCATAACCGAGGACTCAAGGACTAGACGTGCCAAGTTGTTAACTTTGTGTTTGTTTCTTGCTTTCTTTGGTCTGTTTTCTTTTCTTTTCATGTTTTCCAGGGCGCATTGAACTGAATGGAAAATGTGGTGTAAATGTATCAAATGGAGGTATTTTAGTTTAGAGTAAGTTGGGGAGGTTTTATGAAGGCCTTCATAAAAATCAGCACAGACTGTCAGGTTTTTGGGGGTCAGTACAAAGAGATATTTTATTGAAAGTTGCAAAAATGAATGAAACTGGGTTTGCACCGACTTGTATGAATGTAGTCAAACGTGATATTGTTTCTTTATTTTGCACCTTAAGTTTTAATTTCATTTATTTGTTTTCATTTTCTCATTTTTTAGGTTTGGTACTGAGATTATGAACTCTTGCATAATCGCTTTTCTACCATGAAGGGAAAAAGGAAAAGAGGGGGAAAAAAACACAGACTGCTGTATATCTTGTATTGTATTTTATTTACAATGCTACTCTATAAAAGGTACATACATATAAGGAATATATGAAATAATGCCTTTATTGTCCATCCTATATTTTGTGGGAACTGCAATGTTTGGCTCAATCTGTTGAATATTTTGAAGTGAATTTGTGACTTGCTTTGTATGGTGTCTGTATAGAGGCTAAACAAGTCATCATAAAAAATAAAATGTTGGAAAAAAGATTTAACGTCAGAGTTGGTTTACTTGAAGTCAAATTCTACCTCGTCTTCATTGGTGACTGGACATTCCTCATGTTCTGAGTGAGACTCCCATGTTTGTCCCTGCCTGTGCCTTCATCCCTTTATTTATGTTGGGGTGGGAAGGTTATGATCAAATGACCTGTTTTTATATGTTCTAACCTCTTTTTAATCACTTTGCCCTTCACAGAATCTACCTGACTTTCTATGTAATAATCTGATATATAAATTGTTTAAATATGCTAAATGCTTCATAAGATTTTGCAGGTGAAACCACGGAGGAAGCTGTTGCATCTAATAATAACCGTTCTGCCTTCTCTCCTTTACAAAAATCTCATTAATGTGCTGCAAAAACTACTGTTTATGTGCAAAACGCACAGCTGATGTGTCTCTGGGTAGCGCAGCACTTGGCCTGCAGGTCTGGGTGTCAAACAGAGGAAAGGATCCTCCCAAAGAGTTTCAGGGCTGAGTCATGACTCGATGTGTGGTCGTCCTTGGTCTCTGTATTGAGATGTGTCTGGTGTGGTCTTGTTTTGGTCTGTTTTTTGTTTTTATTTTTAACTTGCACGTTGGTGTTACTGCTGAATGTTCTGCTGGTCTGCTTGTTTGTTCATTTGGAGCTTATTTCTTTTCGTTTTTATTTGATTTTATTTTGCAATAAATAACGCAGATGCTCAAATCACAAACTCTCCTCACCGTCCTGCCCTCTGACCCCCAGTCTATCTGTCTCACCCACACGAGCTCCAACACACCAGTCTGCACCCACTCACCCCCTCACCCCCAGCTCCCACTCCGCTCCTGGAATGTGTCGCCTGGGTTTTTCTGACTGACTCTCTTGTTCTCTTGCAGTCGCGGAAAGGCAGTGAGCAGGCAAAGAGCGTTGAGAGTAAAACAGACAGCATAGGCAGTGGAAGGGCCATACCTATCAAACAGGTGAGCAGTTTTACTGATCTTTTGCCTTCATTTCCCATAATTCCCTGGGTGAGTATTTTTTCTGTCTGAAACGAATCACAATTATGACTCACTACCACCACTGGATGGCGACAGTACACAGCACACGCTCAATAATGGTTTTATAAGAGCAGTGATTACTGAAATAGACCAATTTACTGAAATCACACACCTGTAGGAAGTAGTTTATTATTAAATTCAGTAAAATATAAACAAATTCACTAACCAATGAAAGCTTAATTTTAATTACCTGAAATTTCATGCATAATTCTTTCTGTTGGATGATCTTTTACTTTACTAGAAAAAAAAAGTACTCTAATTGGTGTTTAAATGCTCTAATCTTTATAGAATACCTATCAGGGCCACATGAAGTGCTAAATTTGGTCCAAAATGACATATTTAGTTAAAATTAATTTGGCGTGGTTAACTTACAGGCCTTTGTTTTATTATTATTATTATTATTATTTTTGCATTTAGGAATTATGTTTAATAAAAAATGTCTTGAAGTAATATCTTAAGAGAATATAGCTGGTAATTTGGCAACAAGAGGTAATTGATGCATTTCAAAATAATAGTCTGAAGATGTTTGTTGTTTATCAAAATATTATTTTGCATGAAATAATTTGCATTTAATTGGTTTATTATAAAAATGCAAAATTTGATTGATCTTTAATACATTACCTATATGTTTTAATGTTTATTTCTAATACCTGTGCCTTTAAATGGGTTTACAACAGTAAAAAAAATACCATTTTTCTGGTTGTAAAGAAAGAATCAAATAAAGAAAGAATCATTTAAGGTAACTAGAGGAGAAGTAACAGATAGATTGATTAGTAATCACTCGTGATTATACAAGGGCTTATTTTTATAAACGTGTCAGTGTCCTCACATTATCCTCTTTACCTGCTGATGATACAGAATAGTGTCGTTCTTCCGAGCCAGACCTCCTTATTCCCATCGGATGAAAATTGCCCGGGCTTCGGTCCAGCGGAAATAATAGCAGGGTGACGCTTCCAAGCTGCGGCGCTCAATCAGAAACATCCCTTTGTATTTATTACAATACAATATCTATCAGATGACATGCGTGTGGGTGATGGTTTCTGATAGATAAACCCCCTCATGGCATAAAGATAAAGAAGAGTTGCTTTGGCTTTGAAGTGATACTTTAAATTATCAGTCTATTTGTTCGGGAGTAAATCAGAAAGAAGGGAAAAAAACAGATGTAAAACTTTTTGATGGCCGCTCTAAAAAACTTCCTTGCAGACTCTGGTCAAACTTAGAAAAATGCTTTGTACTTTTTACAAGGCCACATTTTACATTTTGCTTCAATTTCCTTAAGTAAAACACCTCCTCCTATCCTAATATCAGTATTTATTTTGTCGTTTTTTTGTCTTCTTAAGGGGTAATTTGGCTGCAGATGTGAGCTAGCTCTCGCAGTCAGTCAAATGCAACTATCTGGAAGATCAAAGCATCAATGCCAGCTTAATTACCATTGCCCCTCCTTATCCCATCAGGCTAAATACGATCACTGCAGCATTCCTGTCCCATCACAGACCCCCCTACCCCCTCCCAGCTCGACTCTTCTTCCCCGGTGTGTCACAAAGACCAACCTATCACTCCGTCACGGTGACAGGACGCAGCTTTTTTTGCTGCTCGTTGGACAAAAGAGAAGTCCGCTATCTCCTCTGTAGATATGACAACTGTGTGAGCACAGAGCGCACATCTGACAACCGCCCCGTTCCTTTATGTTTCTCTGTCTTTAACACTCTTAAAAGGAACACAGCAGCCTATATATTCAAGGCTGACATTATAATGAATGATCTCTAATCATAAAATATGATTTAAGAAAGATTTATGCACCGCAGCAACAGAAAAAGTTGATTTTCACGTTCTTGTCTAACCGTCTCTATTGATCGACATCCCAGCTCGGATAAATAATATAAAGTTTCACACTGATTGCACGTATAGATCTGTGCATGCTTCAGTAAAAGCACAAGATGAGCAACATCTTGACTTGTAAAACATGTATTATGAAGTTGCTAGAGGGCGTTTCACTGGATCATTTACTTTGTATGATTAGAGGGCCATTTAAAATGTGTTTACAGTTCTTTTATTGATTAAATTGAGAAGAGTCTCAGCAGTCAGCAACTTATTGATCAAAGGACACTTCTGTTTTTTTCCCCTTAAAAATTATCTAAGGTATCAATAGAAAAAGAAGAGATAACCAAGGCTTTGGTATTGCAGGACTCACAGGTTGTGTGTTAATGTAATTGCATAGTATTGAAAAAAACTGATTATAATGTATTTTCTGTTTTTGATTCCATACATGTAGTGGTTGTGTACATCTTCTGCCTCTATGTTTTGCCGTTGATGTGTGGCATTGGCAAATTAGCTTGTTTTCCCTCAAAATAGGTAATAGAAACTTGACTAATTTGTGATTTTCTGTGCAATTAAAAAAAACAATTAAACAAAAGTTAAAAATTTTAACGCAGTGAGAGGTATACATATATTTATACGGATGCAAACTGAAGTCTGCACACTTTCATCCTCGCGTGGAGTCAAAACTCAGGACCGGTTCCAGATCAGGGTCCGGATTAGGATGATTGTCAGCAAACAGCCTGGTGCCCAGGTCAACAAGGGTCACCTCTCCCTGATGTGTTAATCAGGTTTTAAAGGCTGCAGAATGATCTCCCAAAAACATTTTTAAAAATCCCACACCCCCTTCCTCCCTTTTTTTAACACACAAACACACACAGGATCTGCCTGGAAAAGCACAAACACTGCCCCGGCTTAATCCCCTAATTAAGTGCGCCCCTCCTGACTATTTATCCCTTAGAGCCTCCTGGCCCTTGCACTCGGCAGCGTTTGGTCACCTCCAGCAGAGGAACTGCATTGTTTACCAGTGGATTTACTCCCCAGATAAGGGCAACCATCTAAGGCCCTAAAAGGCCCCAAAAAGATAAATTAGAATAGAATAAGAGCTGGCTGGGCTTTGAAGAGGGAAGATCACACTCCCTAATCCCAGGATTGAGAGGGTCTTCTAGAGTTCAGCCTGTAATGTGTATGAATGCAGGGAGGAGGTCTGGCAAATTGGATTGTCCCCCTTTAGGAATGGTCTCAGGGCCAGAAGTTTAAAGGTTCAAATTGCAACATAAAAAAAAAAACCTTGTATGCCATCAAATTACATTAAAACAGGGGGAAAAAATTCTTTTATGTTTTTTCCGCGTTTAGTTGCCGTGTGATGTACGATTAAATAAAATCTCCTCACAAGCACCATAACAAATGTAACAATAACAGCTTAATGGCATTTAACATCTGTAATGGTTATTATCATCAGCCACGCTGCTGCTTAAAGAGTGCATGCCCACTGTGGTGCTCCGTCTCTTACAGGGAATCCTTCTGAAGCGAAGTGGCAAATCCCTCAACAAGGAGTGGAAAAAGAAATACGTCACACTGTGTGATAATGGCGTCCTCACTTACCACCCCAGCTTACATGTGAGTTTCACCTCCTTCCTTCTTTTCTTTCAGCTTTTGCTACTTTGCTGTTTTGTTCAAACGAGGGAGTTTTTCTTGATGCATTTCTGATTGTAATAGGTAAAACCAAACTTTGCATTTAGAAGCAGGGTGTCCATATGGTCATCCCTGCTCTCACGCCGGCTACTGTCCGTGTTCGCCGGCTAATGGAGACATGGCTGTTCTCCTGCGGACTCTACGCTGGCTTTTATTTATAATGGTTCTCGCTGCATGGTAGCCGAGCCCGACCGGCCTCCCACATCCATCTTTGTCAGAATCCCGCTGGGCCGCTAATACCTCTTAAACACTCGGCTGGCTGGCAGCAGACAGCTTAGCAGCCTTGATGTTGCCCCTCCGATTTCTCCCCATCACCCTCTTCAATCCTCCACTCATGTTTATGGAATCTTTGGAACATTTTCCCCCAAATGAAACCACCTCGTCTAATGAGACGGACCAAACTTCAAAAAACCAGTCCAGGTACTTGGGTGTGAACCTGGTGCGTGGCCGTGCTCCTCTGACAGTGTGTTAGTGGTTTAATTTACAGGCAGTTAAAGTGGAGCAGCGCCGGGCCACGGTGATGGATGTAATTGACTGAACAGTCTCTCTCTTGATCATTACGGCTATTACAGGTCATCGGGGCAAGCTATGAATCTATGAATGTGTTGACTTACAGAAGAAGGTGAAATAAGGCAGACAGTTACATTAACGGGGTAACGGTCCAAGCTCATTTGGAGCAGTGGAGCAGAGAAGGAGTAGGTCTGGAAAAGAAGGGAGGCAGCGAGAGAGTAGAAGAGGGGGAACCTTTAATTTCGCAGTCAGCCAAGCCATCTACACAATCACCTTCTGTTAATTCTATCTGCTACATCAATTAAATTGTTTGTAGAAACTAATTGAATGTGGCTTAATCACACATCTTAATAGCTTTGCACGCTTCGATCTGGCTGTTAATTCCAGCAATAAAATGAAATGAGAGCGCTCACTGGGTAATTAGTGAGGAGGCTTGGGAAAGAAATGAGTGCTTTATGACACGGTAATAAAGCAGAGGAGCCGCTGGGGGGACGGCAAGGGCCGAGCTCGCCTCTTATCTGGGTCTTTTTTCTGCTGAGCCCGATCATTTTCACCTTGGCTTCCCACATTTTGGAGGGAAGTCGCTTTAAACCAAATCAAACAGGCAAATTGAAACAGAATGAGACAGTTTGCATTCATTAAGCTTAACATCTTGCTATTTAGGGAGACGGCGTGGGCACAGGTGATGTATAATGGCTTTACAATCATTTTTCCACCATCACACACTCTTAGTAGAAGGTCTGAGGTGGGTTGTGACTAATGAGGTTGGAAACTGAATAGTCTTTTAATTTGTTTTTCCCCAATAATTCCTGGATTCTTGTTGCTGGTCCACTGTGCGTAATCATGGACCTAAATGCTTGTACTGAGGGCTTGTTCTCATCACCTTGCAGGACTACATGCAGAACGTGCACGGGAAGGAGATCGACTTGTTGAGGACAACAGTGAAGGTGCCTGGGAAACGACCGCCCAGAGCAGTGTCCACCGTGGCACCCAGTGCCAGTCCCAAAACCAACGGGCTGACCAAGGACGGCAGCGCCCTTCAGCTTGGCGTCACAGGTGGACACTTCCAAGTTTAAGAAATGATTTGTGTGCATTTTTAAAAACAACAACCTAGTAAAAAACTGATACACAACTAAAGAGAAGTTTAAGACTTTTAAAGAAATAGGTGCAAATAGCTCAAGACCAACAGCATTGCCAGCATTTTGACACTGATTTAGTATCTTATACATCCTAACATCAGTTAGAAATAACATCATCGTGCAGTTTGCAATGGTGCAGAGAAAAAAACTATTTTGAGATCGTTTAATAACTTTTACTTAAAAAAGCAGATATAAATATTAGGAATGTTCGATAGACTAATATGGTCTAAGTCTTTTTTTTCTGATACAGATAAAAGCTGATACCAATATATGCAGGGTCCCGCTCTTATAGAAAATAAAGAAAATTTTAAATATTCTAGGTGACTAACATCCCATCACTTCTCCTTTGGATACTTTATCTGTACAAGATATGAAAACTACTTCAAATTAGACCAGCTGTGCCTAACAAACAAAAGTATCTCAAAAACTTGAATCTGTCATTATTGGGCATTTTGAGCAAGAAGAAATAGCAGAAGAGTTTGATGTATTTTAGGCGCATGGCATGCAAAAGTTGACGTTAGAGGAGTGAAAACCAATAATTTACTATATGCAAATTAGCAAGTTTACTGATAAACTGTTTTTACTTGTTATTTTTGCAAAATGATGAGTTTCACATGCAGGATCAAAGTGAAAATAGTCTTGCACCCCTGTTTCCAGCATTAACCAACAGTAGAAAATAGTCAGGGAAACGTTAAGGTCTGAAAAAGCCACTCTGACCTACACTCACTGGCCACTTTATTGGGTACACCTTGCTAGGACGAGGTTGGACCTCCTTTTTCCTTAATCCTTCGTGACACAGATTCAACAAGGTACTGGAAACATTCCTCAGATATTTTTGGTCTATATTAACATGATAGCCATAGGCGTCATTTTAACCGGGGACGCCGGGGACATGTCCCCGGCAAAATTTGTGATTGGCAGCTGTGTCCCCCCCACTTTCAAAAAATCCTGCTGATGAGGATTTTTGTTTTACCAGCTCAGATCTCATACCAGGGGTTGGCAACCTGTTCCCATCAAAGAGCCATTATTACCCGTTTCCCACAGTAATGAAAACAATGGGAGCCACAGCAGCGCAGCGTTGTGGGCGGGGCCTACCCTCAGACAGCAGAGAGCTGCTCACAACCAGGTGACAGCAGCCGGTACCATGGGCGTCGCACCCGTGGGGGATGCAACACCCACACTTTTCCAGCTGTTTTGCTCACCTCCACACCAGTCTGGTTTCTTTAGGTCGCACTCACTCTGTTTGCCTCATCTCCTTCTTCACCTCCCCTATTCTGACAGCCGATGTCGGGTTCAAGGAGAGCAGGAGAGGGAGGGACGGAAGAGCTCGACTGAATTCATAATTTTACATCTTGACATTAGCTGTACAAAGTCTGAGTTTGATCAAGTGAAGAACAATAATTTGCAGAGGTTTATAACAGGCACAGCGCCAGGTTTTCACTTTTGGGTGGGCCACGGTAATTTTGGACGGACCTTAATAAGCAGAAACTTAAGTGAAGCAGGCAGGTCGCGCTAGAAAATTTTGTTTAAAAAGACGTCATAAATGTTTTCCCCCGTCATTTTTATTTCTAAAATATGAAGTAAAAACTCCCAATTTAATTTTCATTCATTTGTCATTAATATGTAGTCTACACCCGTGTGTTAAGTGGACCATCTTCCAGTGAAAGCAAAGCATCCAGCCCATCTCTCCAAATGCGTAAAATGTGCATCACAGCCGTTAGGCGCACCGCGCGCACCGTCAGCTGTCAGCCCAGACAAGAGCAGAGCAACTAGAGAAAGAATAGAAGATAATTGTGTCTGGATGTGGATGGAGATTACATTTTACAGCAGCCTGATCATCATTCAAACACTTAAACCATCACCTGGCTTCTAGTCCACGCTATCGGCATTATTTTAATTGGTGTGTGTGTGTGTGTGTGTGTGTGTGTGTGTGTGTGTGTGTGTGTGTGTGTGTGTGTGTGTGTGTGTGTGTGTGTGGTGTGTTTTCCACTTCAAACACTGGTCTAACCAACCAGATCAGCGTGTCCATTAACACATTAATGTTACAATTAAACAATTTCACTTCATGTAGGCTAGGAACATTTCACCTGCCGTGGCCCGACCGCTTCTGCTCCACATGAACTTTGTGCATGATCAAATGTCTCTACAGGTGCTTTATGAGCTGAAGAGGCGACTGGATGCGTCATGCGTCTCCATATTGGAGACAGGAACAAGCGCTGTTCAGCCAAACTTTCATAATTTCATAAAAATAACATTTTCCAAGTGACACATCCCTCAGAGAGACCGGGTTTCCAGACCGCTTCAGTGGGAGGAAATCAACCAACATCCTTGAGTTTATCCGTCAAAATAAACAGTCAAATGGAAATATCTGTAACCTGTCATTTAACTCTTTTGCCTTCTTGTGAAGATTGTTGCAAAGAGAAACAACTAAACCTGATTAACCCCAGAGCCACGCGCACTGCGCTGTAGTCCGTGACTGTAAGGGGGAAACGATTTAATCGGATCATTTTCTTTTCAACATGGTTTAATGTAAAGTTTCATTCAGTACAAACTTTAGTTGCACCAATCTAACGAGACAGAGTCTGGATTTGTATTCTGAACAGTTTAAACATGTTTAAAACGGAGACGTGCGTGACGCGTCTAAAATTCGCACCTGCTCCGCTATTACGGAAATTAAACTAACAAGATGAATAACATAATTATTTTAGGCACAGACAACATCCCCCACACTTTTGAAAAGCTTGCAACGCGCCTGGTCGCTCGTGTCCGTCAAAGTTATCTTTCATAAAAAGATAATCAATAAAACGATTAAATAAAGTGGATCCAGAAGCTGTAGCCCGTCTCTGTCTTCAATAATATTTTACTGAGCAGGTGCCACTTTTGTCATACGTTTCTTTTTAAAACATGTTTAGACTGTTCAGAATACAAATCCAGGCTCTGTCACGTTTGATTGTTGTAATTAAACTTTGTAGGTGGGGAAGGTCGGAAAGCAGCTCAGAAGCGCATATGATTACGCATAAGCGTGACGCGTCAACCCGGTCTCACAGTAAGACCGGGTTGGACCTGTTCAGGTTTACGCAGACAATCTTTACATTTAGAATTGGCATACAGATGTAAAATTAATGCAGTAAAATATAAAGCATTTTATTTAAATATCCAGTCATTATTTTATAAGCACAGAGAGCTGCATCAGATGGATGGAGGAGCCGCATGCGGCTCCAGAGCCACAGATTGCCGACCCCTGTGCTAGCCTACTTTATTGTCCCCAGCAATTTTTAAGCCCCACTCAAGTGTATGGTTATTGTCCCCAGCAATTCTGACAACAAACTGACGCCCTTGATGATAGCATCAGCAGTTGCTGCAGATGTGTCGGCTGCATATCCATGATGTGAATCTCCCGTTCCACCCAGGCCCCACAATGCGGCTCAAAAATTGAAACAATCCCGGAAGTACCATAAATTGCAGTTCCACCCTCATCCGCTGGGGGCTGGTGTCAGAAGCGAGCAAATCCTCATTGACTCCCATGTTAAAAATACCAATTTCACAGCAGAAATAAACATGTTTACAGCCTGGTACCAAAACATGTTTTTTGTTTAAATTATCTAGTTTACACTCATGACAACTCTGAGGGGGGTGAATTTTTTTCTCACTCTTCTGTTTAAGTGTATTAAAAGCCTAAAATTCTGTATAATTAATGAGCATCAGACACACGTGACCGCCGCCTCAGACCCACGTGACCACAAAGCTAGCTCCGTGGAAAGGCCTCAGTAGAGCCTCGGTCTGGCTTGGAAACTGCTCCGGGATTTTGAGTCTCTGTGTGTGTATTCTTGTTTGGATATTTTTAGTGCAATTGTTGGACAAAATGACTTGATGTGGCATTAATTGCACTAATAGAGCGTCCAAGGAGTCTCCACTTCATTTTTTTCAGTAAGTAAAATTATATTTATGTATTTTAGGTCACTGCCGAGCTGAGCTTAGATTTTAACATGTACTGTTTAACCATGAAATTTAAATGTAATAGGGTAAAACCCAGTGCATTTAACATATTGCTGCATTTTAGAAAATGGGTTGAAATATAACATGTTGGTGGAGCTGGGTTCCGACTATCGGCTTGTGGAGCTCTCGGGAGACCGATGTTTTCCACCCGGTTCTCCCCTCCCCGCAGCTCGGCACATCTCTGTCTGATCGCGGCTTCTGTCTGCTGCGCGGGCTGCCGGCTTGTGGAGCTCTGGGATGGAAACCTTTCCACCCGGTTCTCCCCAGCGGCAGCTCTGCGCATCTCAGATCGCAGTGGCGCTTGTCTGCTGTGCGGCTGCCGGCTTGTGGAGGTCTCGGAGACCTCTATGTTCCACCCGGTTTTACCCAGCGGTCAGCCCGGCGTATCTCTGACTCAGAAGCTCTGGTGTTGTGCACAGTTAACTCCGGTTGTAGCTAGGTTGCTACCTCCATTAGCTTAACTCCCACCTCCGCGTTAGCTTTGGGTTAGCTTCAGGTTAGCTTGTAGCTAGTTCGACCGGGTGTCGTCAGTTGATCCCAGCCTTACAGCCCCACCCTCAGCTCCACCTCTCTTCCCTTTTGTGGAAATGTCTGGGCTTGACGGAACCTGTGACACGGTCAAAATGGCGGTGGTGGCCAACTCCCATTTCTCCTCAAAAATGTGTTATTGGAGCCTATGGAAACCCATTGTCCAATATTTATATGTCGATGGTTCCACCACATCCCAAAGATGCTCTATTGGACTGCGATCTGGTGGCTGTAGAGGCCATTTGAGTACAGCAAACTCGTTGTCATGTTCAAGAAACCAGTCTGAGATGATTTGAGCTTTATGACATGGAGCATTATCCTGCTGGAAGTAGCCATCAGAAGATGGGTACACTGTGGTCAAAAAGGCATGGACATGGTCAGCAACAATACTCA